ATTATAGCTATTTCACGTTCAACCTACGAAACAAAAATGTTGTTGTTGTTGTTGTTGTTTTTTAGAAAAAAAAATATATATATATTTTTTACTTTCATCAATACGGATTCAGATAAAGCTTCACGATTAACAATTTTAATAGCAACTTTTTCTCCAGTTAAATAATGAACACCCAATTTGACAAGTCCTATGAATAATATAAAATCAATTAATACAAGATAGGATAGGCATACTTTATACCTGTTTGACCTTTGCCTAATGTTTTTTGTAAAAGATATGGCCCAACATATTGAGATGTGCGTGGCGGTGTTGTAGTATTTGATGTTTTCACATTGAACGACATTACTGAAATGAAAAATTTCTATTATTCGATCATAAATAAATAAATATACCTTACGTATTTATTGAAGGAAAATAAAAATACAACTAAATAACTATCTATCAGCTATTAAACATTATTTCTATAAACAATAGATTACTCAAACATATTTTGATGATCATTAAAACAAGATGATAATTTTCTTTGGATATAATTGGTAAATTATGGATAGTGTTCAACCATAATCATTTTAAATAAATTTTTTATCAAAATGCATAGAACACTTAATATAATACATTAAATGAAAACAAAAAAGTAAAAATATTTTCTTTATTATAAATTTTATTTAGTTTTTAGAAAATTTTTCATTAAAATATAAAAAAATTCTTATATATTTCTCTATCTTATAAATATTTCAATATTCTATGACCTCTCTAACGATGTTCGTTCGGTTTTTTGCTTAGTGCCTAAATTCTTTCCGATATCTTCTCTTTCTTTTGATACTCGTCCTCCTCCTCCTCTTATCGGTCATCGATATTTTACAAAGACAACCGTTTTTTTTTCTTTTTTTTTTTTTTTCATGTACGTTTGTAACAGAAAAACTAAGAAACTTAATCATCAAAAACAAAAAGAAAAACGCCTAAAGACTTTTTGTTTTTCTAGATGCAATTTTCGAATTTGTGACAATAGAAATAATAAAAAGAAAACAACAACAACAACAATAAGAAGAAAAAAAAATCATGGTGCTTGAATTTGATTATGGTGTTAATACAGGAAATCGTTTTCTTCAATTTGTTGATCACGATGAAGAACCTGAAGCTTTTATTGCTGCTCAAACAAAAGAAGAAATAAAACAAAAAAAACCTGCAACAAAAGATACAAAACAACCAACGAAAAAATCTACAACAACAACTTCAACAATAACAACAACGGCTAAAACTAATAAAGAAAATTTAACTACAAAACCAACTAATGTTGAACAACAACGACGACAACAATCAGCTACTGTTCCAGCTGTTTTTAGTGATAATAACAATCAACAAATACGTGGTGATAGTGCTCGAGGTTTGTTTAAAACCATTAAAAAAAAACAAAAAATTTTTTTTTTTTTTTAATTTAGGCACTCGTGGTGGTGGTTTAAGAAGAGGTGGACCACCTTTTGAAGGTACTAGTGGTCGTGGACGTTCTCAACGTTTTAATAAATTTGAAGGACCAGGTTCATCATCAACAAATGAAACACCTTCATTAGATCAAGGTGGTGATACTTGGGCTAATGAATCAGGACCTCGTGGCGGTGGTCGTGGACGTGGTGGACCAAGACGTGGTAATTTTGAAGGAGGTCGTGGTAATTTCGAAGGAGGTCGTGGCAATTATGAAGGAGGTCGTGGTGGTACCGGCGGTCGAGGTCGTGGACGTGGTGGACGTGGAAATTTTAATAATCGAAATCAAGAAGAAGGTTCACAACAAGAACCTAGTGGTTGGCAACAAACTGCTGAGTATGTTAAATAGAATAATATTAGAATTGAGAATTTTTCTCTGAAGTTAAATTAGATTTTTCGGCTCAATTCCTTAGAGAACATTTAATTGAATCATTCAATCGATCATAAATAAAATATTACTAAAAACTTAGATGATCGAATTTCGAGTATAGATCTTATGATAATTAGAACTTCTTCAAAGTTTGAGTTAGGTCAAATATATACTTATCGACATATCAGCTTATCACAGAAAATGTCCTTCTATTGACATACACACATACACATAGAGTTTCTTTAAAATATAAATAATAACTTGACAAGAATACATTCGTTCTGACAAGCCAATAGTACCAATCGAAAAAGTCATTGGATAGTATAAAATATTAGTTCAACTAATAATTAGAGTTTAGTTCGCATTCAAACGAATATAGAACAAATGTCATAGTCATTAGAAAGAATTTCATCTAGTAAAGCTCATCGGATTCTATTGTTCAGTTTTGATATTATCCATAAATTAGTAAAATCTCTTAAAGATTATGATTATTATTGAATTTATATGAAATATTAAAATAAAACATTGTTTTTTTTTGTTCTTTAGATCAAATTTTGAAAGTGCTCGTCCACAAACAAATCGTGATTTTGATCAAGAAGTATCACCATCGGAACGACCATTTGAACCTGATAATACACGACGTAATCCTCGAGGTAATTATCGTGGTCGAACATTTCGTAATTATGGTGATCGTGAAAGTACTGAAGGTGCTCAGGATGATTATCGAGCTAATCGTCGTCAAACTGATCGTCAACCACGTTCATTTGTTTCGTAAGTTTGACCAAAAAATAAAAACTAAGATTTGTCTAGTTTTTTTTTTTTGTTGGCTTTTATAGAGGTGTTAAACCAATTGAGAAAAAAGATGGTGAAGGTGCACATAATTGGGGTAATCCAACAGAAAATCCTGAAGAACATCCAATAACTGAGTAAGAAGAAAAAAAAAATAATAAATTTATTCTTTAATTTTATTTCAAAAAAAAAAAAAACATTTTAGTGAAACAGCTGAAACAACAGGACCAACACCAAAAGATTGGGCACAACAAGTTGATGAAGCTGAAAAACAAATGACATTGGATGAATATAAAAAACAAGTTGAAGCAAAAAAACGTGCTTATCAAGAAAAATTACCACAATTTAATACACGTGCTGCTGGTGAAGGTGAAGATCCAAAAAATTGGCATAAATTTGAACAAGAATATCGAAAAAAACATGGTGATGATGATGAAGAAGAAGATGAAGATGAAGAAGGAAGTGGCGTTGAAGGTTAATTTAAAAAAATTCTTTTTTTTTTTTATTTAGATTTCAATTAATAAAAATTCATTCTATTTTATATATTTAGAAAATGAAAGTGGTGAAGAACTTGAAGAAGAACATATAAGTGGAAAGAAAAAAATTATTACAATTCCACTTCGTTTTAAACCAATTGAACTTTCACGTGGTTCAGCTGGTTCAAGAGGTGGACAACGTCGTGGTGGAAATCGTTTTCGATCAAATCGTGATGAACAACAAAGACGTAAATATTAACCAAAAAAATAAAATAAAATAAAATTTCTTTTTCATTTAGCTACTTCACCAACTCAAGGTCAAAGTTCACCATCATCTCAACAATTTGATGAACAACAAAGTTCATATCGAGGTAGTGGACGTCGTGGTGGTGATTATCGTCGTCCTCCTCGTGGTGGTTCTCGTCAAGGAGGTCGTACAAATGCTGATCCAAATGCACCAGCACTTGATAATCCAGATGATTTTCCTACTCTTCCCAAACAGTAAACATAATGGTTTCAAAATTGACATTAAATGAAAACTCTGCTCTTCTTCCGCATTTCATCTCTCTCTCTCTCGCTCTCTAAACTCTTCCTAACTTCTTTCTTTTCTTTTAGTTCAAAACAAACACATATTCTAGAACAGTTTGTTTTTTCTTTTGATGCATGATCGTTGTTATTTGTTCATGTTTAAACTATCATCGGAGTCTGTTGAATGGATTGTGACTGGTTTTCTTTTTTTTTTGTTTTTTTTTTGGTTCGTTTGTTAAGATATTAACCTTCTTTTACGTAGGTATTTGCCCTTTTGCTGTTGTTATTGTTGTTGTGGATAGCGTATTGCACTTCAACAATTGAGATATCTTTTTTGTTGTTGTTGTTGTTACCTATGTTTGTTTTTTTTTTTCTCTCTCTCTCTTTTTATTGTTACGACCAAAACATGGATGTTCGTTACTACCGTAGCAAAGTTTTTTTCTTTTGATACGGTTTTTCTTTTTTTCTTCTTTTTTTTTTTTTCATTTTTCTTGTCATTCACACGCCACTAACTTTAGAACATTAACTCATGCACACGAAAAACTTCACAGTTTTATGTGCGTTTTTTTTCTTTTTCTTCTTCTGTTTTTCTCTTCTTGGTCTACCGTCGATGCTGGGTGTGTGTTTGTTGCTGAAGTTCTTTCTTTTCTTTTTTTTTTTTTCTAAAATTAAATACAAAACTAAACATACTTGGAGGTTATATTCGATTAGCCAATGATGATTTGAAATACCAATTCAAGCTCAACAGTCATGAAAGAAAATTATGTTGAGAAGGTATTGAAACTGAGGCTAAAATAAATATATTTATGGACATATGAAAGTCAAAAAAGATGATAACAATATTTCATTGAATTAAGACGAGATTTTCTAAGAAAATGATGTTTTATTATAACACAAAAAAAAAACAACGTAATAATTTTTCACGTAATTTTACGCTTGATATTAACAGTTTGTTTCATTCATGTATGATGATTATTTATAAATGATCTTTTGACGTCTTTGTCACTTCAGAATATGTTGACCTTGCATAAAGAATCCAGCTGACTTTTTTTGTTAATATGATTGATAGAGTCAAGAAACTGATTACATTAGTATAGAAACAACATTTTTATTTATGACCTTTTTGTATTACTATATGAGAAATCAACATTTCTGTTTTTTTCTGTCTCTCTCTCTCTCTCTCGTTATACTTATCTATCACAAATAATGATAATATTATTCTTTATTATTTATATTATTTGATGAGATTAATTTCTAATTGAATCATTGGTTTTTTTTTATTTTATCAATTCATATCATATAAATATATACATATGTCTATTTAATTTACAAAACAAAACAAACTTCTAAGAAAAATCTTATTGATATTTAATTAAATAATTAGTATAAGCTTTTGCATCATGATAAACAACAAAAATTTGATTATTATCTGTTGTTGAATCATATCCTTTTGAAGGTACTTTCATTAATTTATTTCCCAAAATAGATTTTCCTACGAGTACTAATACAACAAACATATATCATTCATTAGTTTGATTTACTCGAGTATAATCATGTCTATATTTAGCATTAGTTGCAAAATAAACACATTGTCCATAGATTTTATGTATGTATAATAACCTAACATAGTTTGATCAAATTTTTCTTTTATATTTTTATATTCTTCGGAATATTCATTAAGAATAAAACGACATAAATTTCTTGATTGAAATTGCCAATTTGTACAATATTATGTGAAATAATATCTAAATGTATTTGTTTTAAAGCTTGAGTTGTTAATTCAAGAAAATATTTATCTGCATCATCGATAGATTTCATTTCACCGATTAATAGAATTTTTTTTTGTTCAAAATTAATTGTTGGATATATATAATGATCGAAACAATATTTATAAAATATAAGAATTGATTGTTGTGTCCAAATATCAAGATTTTCTTCATTTTCTCGAGATTTTATTTGTATACATGTATTTATATATATGATTCAATATCTGATCGATATTTGTTCAAATTTATTTCTTGTTTAGCAGTAAATATTAGAGTTAATTCTAAAAGAAATTTAACACAAAAAATTATACGTGTATTGACTTCTTATTTTAAATATAGGAACTTCAAACATTGAACAGACATACTTACGAGAGAACCTCTGCAGATGCTAAAAAGCTTTTGAGCTCAAATTTTGCCCATAGGCAGACTAGAAAAATCCTAGGAGGATATGAATCCAAGTTGAGATAATGACTTTTTACTACAATCTTTCTATAGGACATGACTTTTTCGGTAAAATCAAAGTTTCGAGTTGTGATCTGAAACTTTACATACATGGAGATTTCAGTCAGACCAACTTGCCTATAAAGTTTCACAATTTCTGGATGAATTATCTCCGAGATATGGGTTTTCGAAACATATTCGTGCATAATACAATATCTACAATAAGCGTCTATAAGCTAACATGCTGTTATCTCGGAGATAATTCATCCAAAAGTTCTGAAACTTTGCAAGCAAGCTGATCTGATTGAGACCTCAATATATGTCAAGTTTCAGGTTAAAACTCGAAACTTTGATTTTACCGAAAAAATGGAGTCCTGTAGGAAGATCATAGTAAAAAGTCGTTATCTCAACTTGGGCTCATATCCTCCTAGGATTTTTCTAGTCTGCCTATGGGCAAAATTTGAGCCCAAAAGCTTTTTAGCATCTGAAAAGATTCCCTCATTAGATCATGATTTTCTCTACTCAAATGATTATATAAGAACAAGATACGATGATTCTCGCTTTTCAAACGGTGGTCACATATGATGAATTATTCTGCCACAGTTCATTACTAGAGATGTTTGGGATCCAGGATTGTCGATTTATTTTAGCAGTGGATGGGCTAGAAACTTCCGCTGAAAGTGCTTTCATCCACGGAGTGGTGACTGGGAAAAAAAAACAAAACCTATCGTGATCCGACCTCTCTCACAATAGACGATCTGGTATTAGGCCGTCCCTCCTTCGGAACTTGTCCCAGTTCTATTCACCTCGCTAAGACATTGCCTGCTTATTTTTATTTGACTTTCTGTCAGAGAAAGACAAATGTTGTTACAGAATATAGTGTCTGTCCAAAATTACTATGAAGCTATAAAAATTGACAGAAAGACGAACATTTGGTGCGTTTCTCTAATTGAGACCCCTTGTTGGGATCAAGTTTGTTGGCCCTGTTCCTAGTCCAATCATAATCCAGGTAAATCTGGCCATGGTTCCAGTCTCGATGATTTTAGTTTTTTCGGTTCCGTTGAGTTATGTTCTGATTGTTAACTTTTAAGATAATTCGCTTAAAACAATAGAGCATTTAACTGTAATCTTTAGTTTCGGTTGAAGCAACTTTTTTCTCATAGTCTCGATCGTGGTGAACCTTCGAATATTGATTCCACACATCTCTATTCGTTATATACGGTTGAGTGTTGTCGATGGTAATCGCTTACGGTACTGAACATCTTGCTGTATTCTATCTTTGCACTCCTATAATAAATATACTAGGTGATTTAAATCTGAGATATTAGTGTCCCACGAATAAGAACTCCTAAAATATTGATGAGTAATCGGCATATTGATGGTGATTCTTTGAAAAAATTAAGATAGATCACTGATTTTCTAATGCACTATAGCAAAAACATTAAGTTTTCTATAGTAAAAGTCTTGACACAAAACAATTGCTCATTTCCCTGTTCTTCAACAGTTCTCTTTAACAATTTATCATAATCATCTATATGCACTCACTTGAAAATGAACACTTTACAGAACCAAATGATTCTGATGGTTTTTGTATTAATGCCAATCTATCAGCAAATCTGTGATGTATATTGAATTGATTAGGCAAAATGACGGATGATACTGTAAAATAAAGTATAGTTTCTTTAAGTTTTGCAACAGCTGTATCAATCATTGCTTGTGCTACAATATTCACTAGACAGCGTATTAAGTCACATCCAATAGCTGGAAATGCTACTGTTCTGAAAACTTTAGGATGATAAAGGATATGATTTAATGATATTGATCCGAATTGAGATATTGAATTTGATAAAATTTTAGAATCTGGATTTAATAATGTTATCAGAGGAAGAAATAAAATTGCTTTGCAATTCAAATTTCTAGGAGTTGTTTCTATTAAAGAATTTTGTTGATCGACTGAACTAGATAATCGATAATATTCTTCTGTTACTACTAAGCCTGCTTTTTCTAGAATATTCTTTAAAAGAAGTTCTGATGTTGAATATACAACAATGACATCGACCTAAATATGAAAAAAAAAAACTTTCATGTGATATTTGATTTTCTTTTTTTTTCTTTTATAATAACTAACATTTTGTGTGATTAAATCACCAGTTACCAATTGAATTGAACCATTATGTATTGTTGTATTCATTATAATATTTGGAAATAAATGTAAAACTGTTTGTGTTTGTTCGATATTTGTTGTAGGTAAATTTTTATTGAGCACTTTTGGAATAAGAAGTTTCTTGACAGTTGATTTAATAGTTAGTTTTAATTCAGTCCTATTTGATTGAGCTATTGATTTCATGTTTATTTCTTCTTTACGTAATAAATCATTAATATAAATAAACAATTAATCATATTTAATGTTTTCATTCGTTCTACTTATGTAAGTATAAAACTAGAGTAAGTAAATGTATCAGTAAAAATTTGCTAAAAATAAAGAACAAAAACAGAAATGTTAAAATAAATTCCTATAAAGATGTTGTAATATTAAGGAAATCCCATTTTATTGGCCATTGCCTGATTCTTGAAGAGGGTACAAGTACGATTTTCCATAGGACTACATCAGGCTTTTGTCTAACTTTGTCCGATCGGGCTGAAAATTTACTTGAAGATACCTTAGACCATATAGTAGTGTCCTGCGGGAACGACTTTTTTCCCTAATTTTCCCATTCCCATTCCCATGGGAATGGGAATTCCCATTTAGACTTAGGGAATGGGAACATGGGAATGGGAATTCCCATTTGGACTTAGGGAATGGGAACATGGGAATGGGAACAGAATTAAAAATTGACGTTCCCAAAATTCTTTCTATCTTATTTCAATACACATAAAAATATTTCTATCTGATAACTATTTATTTTCAATAACTTTTCTTATTCATATACAATTAACAGAAAAATAACAAATGTGGGCATTGGTTAAGCAGGTGTCCCTTCGTATATGCACTATACATTCAAGCTGGTGCTCCTTTTCATTAAAAAAGTGTTCCATCGTCTAATAAGAAAATGTATAGTCAACATAGTGTTCATCATATAGAGAGAATATTCCTCTTACGGTAAAGTGTTTCCCTCCCTTCCCCCAAATAGAAAATAAAAAAAAATTATAAATAAATATTAAGGTTATTTACAACAAAAAACAAATGATTTATCAATAAATAATCTCAATATTTATTTTTAATTTTTTTAATTTTCTATTTGGGTGAGGAGAGGGGAACACTTTACTATAAGAGGAACATTCTCTCTATACGATGAACACAGTGGCGGATTTAGGGGGGGGGGGGCGCTTGGGGCGATCGCCCCCATTCGAAACAAAAATTTTTGCATTTTCCCAGCAGAAAAGTCTTAAAAATAGAGTGCATACTACTACTGATAAACTTCAAAACTTGCTTTTTGATCAAAATCGCCCCATGTCTATCGAATCGCCCCTTATCAAAAAAATCCTAGATCCGCCGCTGGATGAACACTATGTTGACTATACATTTTCTTATTAGACGATGGAATACTTTTTTAATGAAAAGGGACACCAGCTTGAATGTATATGTATAGTGCATATACGCAGGAACACCTGCTTAACCAATGCCAACAAGAACAACAAAACAGAAAAAGAAAAGAAGTGAAGCACTATGTAACAGCGTCGCGATGCGCAAAACGTGATGTCGCGAGAAACTGGTATACATATATGCTAATGACACTTTCGCATAGATGAACAGAGTCTTAGAAAACCTTATGGGAATGGGAACGTGGGAATGGGAACAAAAAATTTTTTTTAGGGAATGGGAAAATGGGAATGGGAACAAAATTTTTTTTTAGGGAATGGGAAAATGGGAATGGGAACAAAATTTTTTTTTTAGGGAATGGGAATAGGGAATGGGAATCAGAAAAAGTTGTTCCCGCAGGACACTACCATATAGTAAAACTTTTCTATATAGGCATCTCTATAACAAGGGTACCTCTCTTACATGGACACATATAGTTAACATTTGGATCAGTACACTACTATTTTGCTTTTCGTCATTTTTTGTTGTCCTGTGAATAGGAGAGAGTAAAGTTTTGTCTGACGCAACAAAGAAAACAACTCATCTATACATTTCTAATTGTGCTGTCAGTGATAAAAAGAATATAAGTAGTCTTATGATTTGACATCATTGTATAAAATCATTGAGAAATAACGTTGTATCATTATCTTATGGTTGACGAAAAGATCGCATTGATGGAACACTATGTCGATGGAGCTGGACTATCACAGCACAAATTGTGTGAGAAGTACAAGGTATCAAAGAGTGCTATGTACAACATTCTTCAGCAAAAAGACGAATACAAATACGATTTCCAAACAAATGCGCATAAAGGTGTCAAACATAAACTGCAAGACGAGTCAAGTCACAAGATAGATGAAACTGACTGATGCTTATATTGATTCAAAAACTAACAAGCAAACCTCAATTATGGATTTTTTTCGAAAAGCTTGATTGTAGATAAGAAAATAAACTTAGATGAAGTGACGACATTAGATGATTAGAGTAAAAATACTGGGCATAGTCAAAGATCTAAAGACAGATTTGTAATATATATGGGTGTGGGGTGTGTGTGTGTCTCTTTGAAGAGAATAGACATCCACACCCCACACCCTTTCGGAAAACGAAAATTACGTGTTCGTCTGCCTTACAAAAACTGCACACTGTGGGGTGAGAAGTGGACTAAAGAATGGTATTTTTAGCTGCTCATCCTTTTGTGGACGGTTCCCAAGAGACAAAAGAATGTATTAACTTTCGAAAAATATGACTAGATCAATTCAGAAATGATTTCATCTGTCGAGATTTTCATTTCGACAGGCTTAGTTCTCAAAAGATTAAAGTAAATCGAAGGAATTGACGATTGAAATTCTAACATCCACTTTTGTATACTAGTGGTACAATGCGGCTATCATGTAAATAAAAAAACTGTATAACCTAGTGAGAATACTCATCCTCATTTATTTTCATAGAATATTTAGTAAATGACTTACAATCTATAATGCACAAAAATATTGCATTGGCACATAAGTTCTGAGCGTTTGGATCAGTAGAATTATATCGTCAAAATAAAACTAAATTTTAAGGCAAATAATTATATATTCTGACAGAGCTCGGAATTCTCTATCACCCTGTGTATTTAAGTCTTGACTTGTATTTATTTGCTGAAAAAATATTTTGAATACAGTGAAGACACCCTTATTCGTATTGACAATGTTCGAAATATTTTTCAGCAAATACATGCAAGTCAAGACTTAAATACACAGGGTGATAGAGAATTTCGAGCTCTGTCAGAATATATAATTACTTGCCTCAAAATATAGTTTTATATTGGCGATATAATTCTACTGATCCAAACGCTCAGAACTTATGTGCCAATTCAATGAAAAGTAGTGAAAAGGTGTTTTATTAACATATCGACTTTTTTTCTAAAAAAGGTTGCTCATTTTGAAATCTTCATTTCTTGCGTAAGATTGAATATTTTCTTAAATAAATAAATGATAACTCATTCGATTTTACTTCCTAAATTCATATAAAAATATTCTTCTACATTAATATAAACATTTTTTTTTGCCAATTGAATGTGAAAATCAATGAATAAAAATATGCTTTATATTATAGACACTCATCAATTTAAAAGCATCACTATACATAAAACAGTTACCTTTATGCTGTATAAAAAACCGATAATATTAAATTAGTACCTCATGCTTTCAAGCTAGAAATCTACATCGAAGTCATTTTTAGCAGTGGTTGAAACTCTATGAAATCCCTACTAGCAAATTAGGTTGAACACTACAGATCTTCTTAAATGGTGAGTTTATATTAATTGTACACAGTGATGTGTTTTGGAGGCTCGAATTACGTCTTCTCAGGGATTTGCAAAGATAAGAAAAAGTCGAAGTCAAGATTGACTTCGACTGCTTCTCATGGGCGTAGGCCTCGAAGAGATACCAATCGAATTCCGAAAACATATCTTTTCGTACAGTAAATACCAAATAATAAAACTTACAATTCAAAACTAAACAAAATCATTCAATTTCATTGCCATGTGAAGTTGGATACTATATTGTTTTAATAAAAATTCTAAAAGAATTTGAGTTTAATTAAACTATCGAAATTTTTCTAGAAATCCCAAATTTTCGAAAATCTCGTATTTTTGAATTTTCATCTGAAAAACTTCAAGCATATAGAGAACTCAACTAGAGTACTTTCCAGAAAGAAATTCAGAAGTCTTGAACAAAGATCGTTTTCCCTGGATCGTGTATACTAACTTACATTTTTTTGCTGGAAGCTTCATATCTCGAAGGAACTTTGTTGAAAACTTCTGAATTTTTTTTTATGGAAACTAGTCTAGTTGAGTTCTTTATATACACAAAGTTTCAGATGAAAATTCAGAAATTGGAGTTTCCGAAAAGTTACGATCTCTAGAAAAAAATTTGATAGTTTACTCAACCTTAGAACACTATGTAGCATCGAAAGGAAACATCTGATAAGGATCCTTCGCAACTCAGTAAGCTTCCACTGTAACCTTTAGTTGAGAATTGTCTGACAACATATAAACTTCAACAGATATACAAGTGTGCAAATTACTCGTTTGAGCTTTAATTTCATGTTCAAATCTCTTTTATTTATAAAAAGAAAGAGTTCATTCGCAGAATTGAAAACTTCTACTTTTTTTTTTCACTAAAATGGTATTATTGATAATAACAGGCGAAAATCTATACCGATTCTCTGCTTTCCGGTATAGTGTTTTGCTCAACTTTGATTTATGCGTTTGTTTTTCTTCACAACTATATGAAAATATACAAACACTTCCTGAGGCTACAAACGACACATTTTCATTCTATATCCATTATTGTTCACACAATCACATCCGTTTGATACATTTTTTTCCTTAGGGTATTCAAATAATTCACTTTAAAATAACAAGATTGAATTTTCAATACAAGGAGAAAAAAAAACCTGGTGATCAATAAACATAAAACTAATTAAATTATATTCGAATAAGTCCCAATATGTTTTTTCCTAATAATAATTCCACTGTCAGTTACATATACAATTTTTTTCTTTCTTTAAAACTTCAATAAAATTAACAGGAATATGTTTCAAGGTACGAAATGCATCATTTATTGTACGGCGACATCTGTCGACAATGATCAAGACCTTTTTTCTTCTTCTCAATGTTTATTACTTTAACTATGTTATATATCATTAATTTTACGTGAAAACTTATTAATTTTTAAATAAAGGTTCACAATACATTTTGTATTGGTTAATATCTAGTCCTTTCTTCTTCAATTTTCTTTGTCTTGTTAAACAAAGACCACACATAGCGGACAGTCCAGGCCATAGATCACGATATTCGTTGTTGAACATTGAACAACAACAACGTTTTCATTCTTTTAGATCTGTAGTCTAGTCAATTTTTTGTTTTGTTCTATTTATTTCATTTTTCTTTTCTCAAAAAAACAAAAAACTAAAATAAATGGATGCTCAATTCGAACGTCGTCTTCTTCTTTCAATGAATGGTCAAAGTTCATTACAATCATTATCACCTTTTAAAAGTCCACTTCAATCACCATTAAAAACAAGTGATCGATATATACCACTTCGATCTTCATTAACAATATCTAATCTTCATTATCAAATAAATCCACAAACAACATCATCACCTAATCAAATATGTCCATCACCAACAACAACAACAACAACAATATCACCAAATAAAAAACGTAAATATGAACATAATCAAATTGGTCTTGGTTCTGGTATAACAGCAAGCGAATCTGATTTAGCTATATATAGACAATTATTACAAAATACATTATTAGATACAAATATTGATTCAATTTTAAAAATAAGTGATATACAAAATATAAATCAAGAAAATTCTAAAACAGTACAAACAAAAAAATCCATAATAAATAAAGAAAATTCATCAATATCATTATCATCAACACCAATATTTCGTTATTCTGAACGTGTTGCAGAAAATTCAATATCAACATCAAATTTAATTAATAAATATCATTTTACACGTTCACCTATATCAAATGCATCTGTACATTTACTTTATTCACCAAAAAAATCTATTCGACGTATACCAAAAGTTCCATATAAAGTTTTAGATGCACCTGATTTACAAGATGATTTTTATTTAAATTTAATTGATTGGTCAACATCAAATGTTCTTAGTGTTGGTTTAGGTGCATGTGTCTATTTATGTAATGCACAAACAAATAATGTTCAACTTTTATGTGATCTTACACATACACAATTACCATCAGGAAATAATAATCAATCGACTATTGTTGCATCAGATACAGTTACATCTGTAGCATGGGCTGATTGGTCAAATATATTAGCTGTTGGTAAGAATTATAAATCAAAACTATTTTACATAAGATAGATGGTAAAGTCACGAGGATCGAGTAGACTCAAAGATTAATTTCCTGGTGCATCAAATTGATAGATTTATACGATGGATCGAAATATTTGGCAAATTATAACAGTTCCGTACTTAGAAATTACTCTTAAGAAAACATTGGATTTTGTTTGAATAAAAGGTTGAGCCCTACATTTGTGAATGGTTTTCTAAATCATGACAGTTGTGTTCAGTGCAAAATGTGATTTGCACACAGGGATCGAAATTGGGCTACTTTTTTATGGCTCGGCTATCCATATTTTTTGGCTTTTATAAAAAGTGATGACCAAGGGGGGGGGGGTAGCGTGGAGAATGCTTCCCCCTCAGAATGAGTTAAATCGTCGGATTGGGTGGTCCGGCCTGTTTGGAAATAAGAAATATTAACTCCCATTCATCTAATATCCTGGTGGAGATCTATTAAATATCTTTCAGCGTAAACATTTTATTATATTATTCTAGGTACTCATCGTGGTCATGTTCATATTTATGATGTTACAACTCAAAAACGTTTACAATCAATGTGTAAACATACAAGTCGTGTTGGTACATTAGCTTGGAATGATTGGACATTATGTTCTGGTTCACGTGATCGTTCAATAATTGAACATGAAATTCGTCAACAATCAGCTTTACATGTATTTCATGGTCATACACAAGAAGTATGTGGTCTTAAATGGTCACCGGATAAATCTATATTAGCTAGTGGTGGAAATGATAATCGTCTATTTCTATGGTCAAAAAGTCAACCATCACAACCATTACATTCATTTAATGATCATTTAGCTGCTGTTAAAGCTATAGCATGGTCACCACATCAACATGGTTTAATGGCATCAGGTGGTGGTACAGCTGATCGACATATACGTTTTCGTTCATCATTAACATGTCAAACATTAAATATTTGTGATACAGGTTCTCAAGTATGTCAATTAGTATGGTCAAAAAACTCTCCTAATGAACTTGCATCAACACATGGTTATTCACAAAATCAAATTGTTGTTTGGAAATATCCATTAATGCAACCATTAGCAAAATTATTTGGTCATCAACAACGTGTTCTTTATTTAGCTATGAGTCCAGATGGTGAATCAATTGTAACAGGTGCTGGTGATGAAACTCTTCGATTTTGGAATGTATTTGCTAAAGCTAAATGTATAAGAAATCCAGATTCAAAATTAAATGGACTTAATCGAATGCGATGAATTGTTTTGGTTCTTTTTTTTTTTTTTTTTTTTTTTTTTGTTAGTAGTCTTAATTTATCATTTCACTTAATTTATTTGTACTAAGCATTTCTTTTTTGTTAATACGCCATATTGTCAGATAATGTCTTTTTTTCTTTTCTTCACTGTTTTTTTTTTTTTTTGTGTTTATATTTAATGCAATTTTTGTTTTTGTTTTGCCGACTTTGTGGTTAGATAATTTGTGTGTTTGAGTGAATAGTTGATTTTCAACACGAAAAAAAAGAAAATTAACTAATACTTTTTCGTCAGATAGATGAATAAATAATTTTTTTTTAAGACAATGAATAATCATTCATCACATGATTGTAGCTGTCATTTATCATCGAATATAAACAAAGGTGTTTATGAAACACTAGATGAACTTGATTTTCGTCGTGGTCTTTGGTCGTCTGCACAACAAAACGATATCAATGAACTTCATGAACGATTAAAATCATCAAATTCTAAAACTGTCAATCAATGTGATGCTAGTGATTATACACCACTACATTATGCTGTTCGTTTTCAACCGGCACATACTTGTCGTTTATTACTTGAACATGGTGCTAATCCTAATTGTCAAACTCGAGCATCAAAATCGACGCCTCTTCATCGTGCTATTACATTCAATAATATTGATGCTATTCGTCATTTACTTGAATATAAAGCTGATCTGACATTAAAAGATATTGATGGACAAACACCAATAGAAAAAGCTATGGCAATAAACAGTGAAATTGCAAATATTCTTCTTCAATCACAGCAATCATCTTGAATTTGTTTTTCGCATGTCTACTTATTCAAGTTTATGTATTATTCATTTCAGAATATAATATGCTCTACTGTGTTTTGAATAACTTTTGATAGAAATATTATAGAGATCTAGGGTTTTGACCATTTCAGAGAGAAGACCCAGAATTATCGAAATTTGATTGGTCAGGAATTGACCAATCAGGTGAGTACTTTGTGAAGATTTTCGAAAATCATATGCTGAAACAATTTTCCATTCGACTTATGCAAGGCCGACATTCCTAGTTTGTTCCGTTCGAGAGTTATAAGATTTTTCCGGAGACCTCCAAGTGCAACCAATTGCTATGCGATCATCCGAAAAAGTCACTAGGTAGTAGTAGTTCAACTTGCTGAGTCGAATGGTGATACTTCTCGTTAGGTTAGAAATGATCTGACTTTTTTATCTCAATATTTTCAAAATTTCGACTCCTTTATCACATGAAGGTTATTTGTGGAATTCTATAAATATAGAGATAACAAAGTCAGATCATTGCGAACCTAAAAGTAAATACCTTCGTTTGACTCACCACGGTAAATTACCCTTGCCTAGATGCTTTTTCGGATGATTACAGGTCAGTACTGTTGACAAATCAAATTTTGATATACTTCGATGGTTTCGAGTCTTCTCTCTTGAATAATGAAAATCGCAGGTCTCTCTGATGCTCCTTTCAAAAGATAGTGCAGCACATTATATTTTGAAATAGACATAAAAAAAAACGATTTCTGCAATTGTAAAGTGAAAGAGAAAGCAATTTTGAGCTATGTTTTTCGATCTGAGTTGAACACATAATGCGAGTAATAAATGTATATTTTATTTCATTTATATAATATAACATTGAAGGTAATCATGTATATGCTTGATTATTCTTAACTGTTGACGATGATCTACTGCATACTAGATTCGAGAATACGGACTATTATTTATTGGTTTAGATAGACGAGAACAAAAAACAATATATAAGATCAAAACAATATTCGCTCGAATGATCCTGTAGTAAAAGCTATATATGCTGCTGTTGTCATCAAAAAAGAATAATATAAACTGTGAATGTCATATAAAATGCGAGCTGAAAAAAAAGTCAAAATCAACAGAAAAGAAAAGAAGAAGGTCATATTCTCGTACTTTTTTTTCTTTGGGTAAGTTCGTACAAAATAAAGAAGAGAAAGGTAACTGTACAAAAAAAGGACATTTTCTTGATGATTTTTTAAAATGGAGTGTTTGAATAGAAGAAATTCGTTAGTTTGAGGAGTCATATTTTTTCTTTCTGTTATAAAGAAAATTTTTTGATTCATTTTTTCTTTTGAGACCCAGCGAAATTAAAAATTAATGTCTCGGAATAAATAGAACATTGTCCAGTTTAATAAATATTTTTCTCTTTAGTTATAGGCCCTTCAGTTAAAATTTTTAATTAGATTTTTCGATGTAAAAATTCCTGTAAAAAAGATCTTGTCTGTATTTCACACTTTTATCTAGAATAATCTCTATGTATAAAAAAAAAATATTTCTTGTAGTTCTCCTATGACAAACTGACTGAAGAGATTAACCTTGACGTCCTTTATTTAAGTATATAGCCTCATTTTGTATGTTCTTTGTGACATATGAATATTGACAAACTAATAATAATACGTTGACATTAATTGTATTTTGATGAAAAGATCATCAACACGAAGATTTTTACATCAATATTCAAAATTTTGTTGTTACTTGTTTTAAGACAATAAAATGCCGTCGAATTTATTTTCAACGTTATTTAATTCTACTAATGCAACAATTACAAATGAAACTATAAATGCTTATGATTATGAAGGTGCAGCTATTTATGTAGCTGTTATATTAATTTGGTATTCAACTGGTTTAGCATTAATGTTATTTCTTCAAGTACGTCCACGTACATTTCAAAGTCAATTTTTACTTGATTATCAAACAAATAATGTATCAAAATCATTTTCAACAAATCCATTTGGTAATTATCATAATGTTGAAGCTCATAGTGTAAAAAAACATATTCTTAATGAATTAAAAGATCCAGAAAGACGACAACGTTTATGGAAAATATATTATTCATCAAAAGAAAAACAAAATGAACCACATCCACGATATTATAAAACAATTACAGCAGATAGTGTAACTATTGGTCGTATTAATAGAAAATTAGCTGATATTCATCGAATAGATGCACGAAATCGAGATGATTCAATACTATCATCATTAGATGTATCTTCAAATGTTAATCGATCCGATGGAACAAAATTTCCTAATAAACGATTTACTTCATTACGTAGAACAAGTTATGTGCCAACAAATAATCGAGAACAACCTGTTCCAATTCTATCTCAACCTGATACACAAACAATAATTCCAAATATCGAAGTCAAACCTATTATAGGTGAAAAACAACCAACAGCGCTATTGGCCAATGGTTCACATAAACGAATTAATAAATTTTCAAATCGATTTACCGTTGAAAAAGTACCGGAAAATAATAGTAATAGTTCTACTATACAAGAGAATACAACAAAATAGCATGATTAATGATTTTGATCTACACAACTAAGTGTCTAACAAAAATTCTAATCAATATTTAATCGTGATTAGACTAAGGAGACAATTTTGAACTCTTTGCCAATGAATACATTGATTCAAGATCTTCATATATATGTATATATAGTTTTTAGAATAAAATATAAATTACTAAAACATGAAACATAATAGAATTGCTTCTGAAGCGGTGTCAAATAAATTTTGGACCATAAAAAAAGTTAATTTATATGTAAATGAAGAGTGATCCCTACTCATTTATATTAACACCAGTTTCGAGCACTTAGGACAACGATTTAAATGGCATGTTATATAATGCTATTATTATTGCTCTTAATAATAGTGACATAAACATAAGAATTGTGATAATTAAAATTTCGCAATCGATCTCCAGTGAATGTTCTAGCTTCAAGGTACTGAAAAGGTTACCCTAATACCACTACATAACAGAAATTTTTGTGTACATCAGCACCTTAGAACACGTTTCGGTTTTTTAGTATTTGACTCTAGAATGCATCTAAGTATTCAATCGGCTAACTTGTTCAAAAATTTTTCATATAATTCTATAGAAACTGGACAAATAGCCGAACGAGTGCCTAACCAGTATCCATGTACTGAGACAATTTGCAACTCGACACTCGACTAATATTCTATTATATAATAGTAGCAGGATACTCGAAAATGTATCCTACTGAAAATGTTCTAGTACATGGATACTTTGAACTCAGTAGATTCATTAGGGCCAGTATTCTTTTTAAAGAAGTTTTAATGAACTATAAATTCATCATGTGTAATATAACATAATTATACAAAACGATACATAGTTATCTAGATCGCTTCTTCGATAGATATTATGAATAATTATTCGCATCATCAACTAATTTATATGCCAAATTAATGAAAGACGTTAGTAGTAACAAAATTAAAAAGGTGTGTAGGAAAAATGTTCTATTCAAAAACGATAACGATTCAAAACATAGAACAAGGATTGAATTACGAACTATTGATGAATTATTTAGTGCAAGAGTTTCACCTGAAGATGAAGCTGCAAATTTTGCAGATATGTGATTTTTTGACAATATTTTTGGAATCATTCTTAACTCTATCCATGCAGTGGTTACACATATTTTTTTTTGCTGCTTCTTGACATATTCTGTATTCTTTCGTTTCTTGTAAGAATGTCCCATCCAAAATGGACAATCCTACAATGTTGTCGATCAATAGAATCAAGTTTACAACTTCGATGCAACCGTTCGTGTGTATGTAATGATGAATAATGTCCCACTTAATGTGAATAATGAAATTTTGCATGAACACCAGTTACTTTATGGCAACGGCCTAGTGAATTACCCATCGAGCACTAGTCCAGTCTCATCTATGTCAGTTACAATCGCCTACCAATTAAACGATTCACTAGTCTTTGTTAGTTCGTCTTACACCAGAATATCATAATCATCAATCAGCAGATGATCTCCTCCATCAACATGCCTTCCTTACTCTTACAATCATCAATATTACATTGCAACGTGTATCAATAACAAGCATTAATATCACAGCACGATATTCATCGTTGATGATTAATCCAATAGTATCTCTTCAACATCAATCGCATCACAAGCAAAGCGAGGCCGCAATGATATTAACAATGATTTTGGATCAAATATATAGATGCAATCTTATTATTCTCAGTTGATTCGTGTCGCTCTCCAACAATGTGCCAATCAAATCTATCGATCACATTAGTAAGGCATACTTCAGTCGACCTCGCCAAAAGCAATCAGTACAATTCAAATACGGTCATTTCTCGATGTCTGGCAGCGATGATCAAAACAATCATCTATAGTATGTCGTTCCGCCACATCTCGCTATCAGTACTCGCACTTCTCGACCATTTTCTTGCAGGAAGTTCGTGAAAAGATGTTGTTAATGATCTTATTCAACATGCGATGAATAATTTCAATTTCGAATCAAAAATTGTTGCCTATTGTCGTGCACGTGTTGAAAATGATGAATTTTGTATCGTGATTGTCATGGCCACTGGGCATGATATATCCTAAGATACTCATTTATCCTTTCTTACTAGTGTAATCGTGTAGTCTGCTTGTCTTGTGATGCATTCTGTTTCATGTGCTTTGTGTCTTATGATACATTCTGATTTTGCTTATTCTTTTGTTCTTTTTCTTTCCCTTTTGGAATGTTTATATTTTTTTCGATATATATACATATGTTTTGCACATGTAAAAATGTTTTCTCGATTCTGCATGTGTAAAAAAAGAATGAATGAAGGAAGTTTAACAGTGATATTCATTGAAAACAGTGAATGGTTTATCTTCTTATACAATTGCGGTGACTAACGTATAATACGGGTAGGATGAAAATTTATAACGAGAATTCCGTCAACTTCTCCTTAACTATCTCTAATTTTACCATCAGTTTGCTTAAGAAATGAGCCCTAACAACCAGTGCAAGCTATCAAACTTGAATTAAAATCCACACAATCTGGTAATCCGGTATTAGAAGCAGAAGAAATCTCGATTATATATATATAAAGCACGAAGTTATTCAATATTATTATTGCGTTAATGATTTAATCTGTTCCAATTGTTTTGAAATCGTAAACTTCCGAAAAAAGTGCCTGCAACTGGATGAAATTATTTGTAAAGTATGCAACGAACAATCCTCTAATCTAAAAGGCCATCAGTGTTTCGGCGTACTAAAATGTATCCATTGTGGCAAATCGCATAATTCAAACGATAAAAGATGCGGTGTAGTAAAAGACTCTCGAGTCGGATGTCATTTTTCTGTTAATTTAAAATAAATTTTAATTTAACCTAAATCTAAACTATAGACAATTTAATTTATTATAAATTTAAAAAGAAAGACAGCTATTAATTAAACGATTTAATCAACAAAAACAAAACAATAGCCCAACACAGAACAAATATTTATTTCATTATGAATTATTATGGAAATGAAATATTATTATTTGCTGAATATGTGAAGAAAAAAATGTGCAAAATTAATTTCAAATATTAAAATAAATTTTATATTTCGAAAAACAAATTCATTAAAAATTGTAGTTTCACCATTACAGAAAGGCAAAGATTCTAATCGTACCGATTGCAAAATTATTCATAAAATTTAATGGCAAAATTGTGATTCAGTTTATATTGGAGAAACAGCTCGTGAAAAGACAAACAGAATTCAAAAATCATCAAAAAAATGTTAAAAATATAGATCTTAACTCTTTCATGTTTCAACATGTTTACCAAAATTCTCATGTGATAAATTTTTATGACATTAAAACACTTAGTTATAAATCTGATTGAAGAAGGAGAATAATTAAAGAATCACTTTTCACACAAGAAATAAAATCGGAGATCAAGAGACACAGCATTTTGCTAATAGTCTCACAAACAACGCAGTAATACACAATTTAGTAGCCATATTCATCCTATTAATATCCATTTTTCACATAGATATTCATCACACTCAATCTTTTTTTGTGTTTTCCGAAACGCTCCTTATTTTAAATAGTGAAATTTCTTGGACCTTGAACTGTTGTGAAGTCTTTCTTTTGTATGACTCCTATAGATACTATCTAATTCAGAGTTCGACGTTTTACAGAATTTTTTACAACGTATTGATACATAATGTAGAGTTCACAGAGGCTTTATAGAAGTGTAAAGACCCTCTTTTAAGATGATTAACAAGTGATACTGAGTTGTTGCAAGGTGTTTTTTAATGCATCGGCGACTGATTGTCTGATTTGTTTGCAATGGACGGTTGATTTCAGTTTTGATTTTCCTAGCAATTGATCTGTTGACTGTGAATCCTGTATGGTAACAACAATTTAGTACTGGAGAAACATATTCTGTATTCAGAGAGTACCGTTGATAATTGATAGTTCCATGAGAAAATCTTAAGCATAGAATTGCAAAAAAGGTATCTTTATGATGTCAAGCTTTCCACTGTCATAACAAGAATTTGATGAAAAGAAGAAGACATTGCTTGTTTTTTACAGAGCACATTTGATTAATGAATGTCTGCTTTTGACCATTGTCAAAAAAGATCTCGTTTAAATATGAACTTGATGTAGAATCAAGAAGGTTGACATATTTAGAAACATTTTAGTGAAATAAGGATACTTATCTATTTGTTCATGGTTGTGTTTTTAAGCATAAAAATCCAAAACTCAATAATGGCGCATGCGCTTTGTAGTCACCGAAGCGCTGATTATTTTTTCTCCGACGCAACTCTTTTCTCATCTTGGCTTCCTGAGTCACTACAAAAAGAGTGTAACTCTCTTGAATCTTATTTTCACGTAGGACTACGATTCGAAATAGGCCACATATGAGTCAACACAAAGTGAACCAAGCATGCTCGAGTGACAGAAAATAAAAGGAGTCAATAATTCTTATTGAAAACATAACAGAGGTAAAACAATGGTCAACTTATCTACTATCCACAGTACAGAATAGCAATGAACATGCGTTACATATTTCCCAGTTTCCTGTCATCAAAAAAACCTATAAATCATTTGGACATTTTTTTTTCAGATTTCACCTAAGAAAATGCTTTCTGATTATGTTAAGCTAGTAATCTCATGAAAATCAATACCGTAAGTGGTAAAATGTTTCACTATGTCTTCCGAACATAATGTGAATAAAATAGCACAAATTGGTAAATGAAGGAAACTTGATACTATGTAAAGATAACTGTAACTAAGTAGTATACTTATCTCTTACTTTTGTATACAACGCATTTAAAATGTTGTACTTCTTTGGGGTCGATTTCATTCTCATAGGCATTGTGTCTCAAGTTTCTTTTGGAAAAGTGCAGATAATCAAGGGAGATACGACTGGAATATGGTATATCATTGTGATACTTGTGAAGAAAAACATAATTTGTTGATGAATATAGGTACTAGGCATGAAAGTGAGTCTAGAGAAAAATAACCAAATGATACTTTGACTAAAAAAGGAGCCGTGCAGATTCATATCACCTTCCGATGAAATAATCCGTCTGTGTGCAACTTTGATATAGAACATTGGAAACCACTACTTTCAGTTGCAACAAGAACAGATGCTTTCTCGTTCTGTCTAGTAGAAGGGTAGAAGAAATAAAGATGGATAGAATACAATGAAAATTGTTCGATTGATTATGTAGATACGAAATGGCATTCACTTTATTTGGTTAGGTTTAATGAGATGAATATAAAACTTCGAAATGAGGTCAAGTTTTTCTTCAGATGATTCATCGTTATGAATCAACGCCATGATTGTAATAATGTTCAATGGAGACTCGAATATGAATCTTTGTATTGAACATAAACATAGTACGAGTCAAATTGAGTAATGCACATAATATTCATTCAAAATGAACACGATGTTTCATGTTTGGCTATGACGAATGTTTGTAAAGTCTTCTAACTCAACAAGATACATTTGAGTCATATCGTTCTCTATTGACTTATGTGACTATGTTCATACATTGTATGCACCAGAGATGGGCATAGAACAGGACTAAAATATAATTTATGTCTTATCCTGCCATCCACCAGGATGAAGTAAGGCATCATGACAGAGGAAAAAAGGTTGTCCTATGCTTCTCTCTCGTAGGAATCACCCTCTATTTACATATAAACTAATTTTTTGTTGAACTTCAGAGTTTAAGAGACATTCTTTACATGTCACTATCTGTAGTGTGAGAAAGAAAGTTGTGAAACTTTCTCGTTATAAATTGTAATTTTCATTAAAATTGAAGTTCGACAAAAACATGAATAACTCAAAGCCTACTTTCTATAATTATACATAAAAAATAACATATTATTTTCGATGATTACTACAAGAAAATCAATTTCTATTTTATCATCTTATTCTTGTCTCTACATATGAATATGTTTACATTTAAATTAAATACATATAGACTTTCCTCAGTATCAAAATAAAATTTATCAATGACAATAAATATATATTAATAGTTTCGAGTTTCTTGTCTATTTATAAAATATCTTGCATATGACAGAAGAACTGTTGACATACTAAAATATATGAAAATTTTTTGAAGCAAATTAATTTTTAATACGTAACTGTTCTATATGGATTACGAATACATCTCGATGTAAATTACACTTAATCAAAAAAAGAAAAAAAAAGACTAAAGAATATTCAATTGATTATGTTCTATCCTTCGGCATTGATCTATTTAGCCATCTGGAAAAAAACATTAGTCTGTTTATGCTTTAGGCATTCGGAAAGCTTGAGAAATACCATTGTTCTATATTTCATTCCCGAATCATTTCTTTCTATCGATCATACGTTATTATATCGTGATAATTTGTCTACAATATGATTTGTTGTAATGATAGTATTAAGCACTCAATTAATAATCCACTTAAATTTCTTCAGAATAATTTATCGTGTTCATGTCAAATTATTAATAATAATGAGAAAAAATTAATGGATCTAGTTCAAGAATGTAGTATAGTATGACTTGCCATTATTAATATATAATTTGAAAATTAAAATTAATTTCTGATTTTTCATATTAATTTAACTTTATACAGTAAAATGAAGAAGTTTTACTATTAGAATAATGGATTCTATAAAAGTAAATCTATAATACGATTTATTCTTAAAGCTTAACAGAGAATAGTTCGTTCTGTTATCTTTTTCTTTTTTGTTCTATTTCTCACAACTATTCTACATCGTTCTTTGTCTATAACCATCAATAATTAATTATATTGAAAAACATTTTTTAATGGGTTTGTTTAAATTATATTTCCGGTGTCATATATATGTATATATATATTTTTCTAACACGTTGCTTTCTTTCCTAAAGCTATTATATTAAATTATATGGAGAAGAAGAAGAGAAAAGAATCTCATTTTTCATTACTACTCAATGCAATTCACGAAACGGAACACAGGCATACAAATAATAGTGAGTAATAGTAACATAGACGCGTTCAGCCAGACATATCTAAAAGCGCAAAAGTCGACTGAGAACAACAACAACAATAATAACAACAACAAGAATACGGAAGAATAGGAAAAAAAAAGTCATCAGATCGGGTACTCATCAATAATTCTTTTTTCTTTAAACTTCGTGCATATGCTTGAACAAAAGTAGTATTGTGAATAATGAAGGCAAGCAATAAGAATGTGAAGAGAAAAAAAAACTCCAGGAAATACTATTGATTTAACTGCGTGCATTCAAAACAACATTATTAACAGAAAAAGAAATGTAGAGAGAAAAATAATTCATCAAGCTTTTTTTTCACAATCTGATTTTCTATTACGCAAATATGACGAATTGTTTCTTTCTAATCTTAATTATATTTTATTATTTTGAACAATTAAAAGCACAACATTATCCATATAAACATTATTCACGACATCCAGTCAGTGAAAGTATTTATGATAATACAACAATTACTGAATATGATGATAATAGTGACATGTGTCATTTGTCTGTAAGATGTCCTTCAGTATCTAATCTCTGTAATGTAGATTCATTGTTTTTTTTTTCTTTAAATTAATTATAAATTTTTATCATAGCACCTTATGATCGAGATGGTCGTAATCGTCGTTTTAGTGTTGATACTTTCTTAGCAATGCATGGACCACCAGGACCACCTGGTATTCCAGGTCCACAAGGCAATTCTGGACCACGAGGTGCTGTTGGATCTCAAGGTATCTATATTTATTAAATCAAGAAAAAAGATTATCCGTATGTTCTATGTAGGTGATGTTGGTCGATCAAAAGAACCAATACCTATTGTAGCTTTTGTAGCTTATCTTCAAAGAATGCTTTCAATTGAATCGAATCGTTCAGAACCTATTATTTTTGAAAATGCTGATGTTAATGAAGGCAATAGTTATAATCCAAAAACAGGTATATTTACAGCTGCTTATCGAGGTATATATAAATTTAGTATAACAATTATGGCACAAATGGATTCAATTGTAAGTTTGATAAAAACAACAGAAATAATCTTATTTTTTGTATATTTAATACATATTAGGCTACTGTACGTATAGTACATAATGAAAATAAAGTACTCGGTATGATTCGATGTGATTGTCGACGTCGTTTTTCACATGTTCGTGCATCTGTTTATGCTGAATTAGATATTAATGATCATATTATGGTTGAAGCACTTGGTGATCTTAATGATCCAGGTCAAACAGCTCCACGTAATAATATATATGGTTATACATATACACATTTTAGTGGTCTACTTTTATTTTTAACAGATATTCTATCAATAACTTAAATATCAATATATGTTGTTTTGTTTTTATTCTTAAGTAGAATAAAAATAGCTCTAATAAAAATGAACGACATTTTTTTGTCTCTCTTGTTTCCTTAAAGTTTTCTAAGTACAAAAAGAAAAAAATGTCAATTTTTCAATGGATCTAATTTAGTTTGTCTATCTCATTTGAGAATCTATGCAATAAGAAAGTCAAGATATGATGATGATGATGATGATGATGATGATGTCTTTGGCATCTTTTAATAATGATTTTTTTTTTCATTGGCTTCTGTAATATAAATATGAATCTCTGATGTTGTTGTTGTCGTCATCATTCGAGATCTAATTCAATTTGAGTAAAATAAGTGTCATTTCTCTTGAGAATAAGAATAGAACGAATGATAAATTCTTTTTTTTGCAAAAAGATCTTCTTGATATATTGATATTAGATTTTACTTATATATATATATATATATATATATATAATAGATTTTTCTTCAATGTCAGAAGAAAAAACAAGAATCATTTGTTTTTTTTTGGTTTCTATAATTAATCGAAAATATTCGGTGAGTGTGAATCAGAATAAATACCAAAAAAAAAAAAATCTGATATGCAATTATTATCTTCTATTGATCAATTAATTCTATATATAAAGAAAAAAAAAAAAGGCTGCTGAATGGATTTTGAAGATATTTTTTTGTCATATGGCATACATATATATATATATATTCTCGTATATTATTCTTCTATCCGATAGCGATTGATGGAAGACGAATCAATCTATAATAAAAATTCAATTGTATTTCTAATATTATTCATAATCATTATTAAATCAATGATGTTTGAATTTCTTCTGATAGAATATATTTTCATCGTCATATGAAGAGAGAGATAGGACACTCGATCGTGTACAATAGATAGACTAATTTATGAATGTTGGGTTTCCGATTATCTATAGTTATATAGACATTGTATTGAGGTAGAATATTAATAAAGAAACTGACGATACAAATTGTTCTACATTCTATTTCCTTTAGTCAATCAATTTTTAATATATTCATTGACAAGCAATAGTTAACCTTGATAGAAAAAGAAGGAAATGACAATAATATTTAGACTTATCTATATTTTCTTTTATGTAGTTGTTCGTTGGTATACATATATGTTTATATATTTCTAGATAACAATTAATAAATAACAGACATGTTATTTTTGATGTTATAAAAATATATTCTTTTCTTTGTCAATGCTCAATATTAATATTGACTTTAATCCATGTGGTATTGCTCATATATTTTCATTTATAATTATTTAATTTTTCTATTAATTTCTTTAATAAAATCAAAACAAATACCATTAATTGGACTTTTTACAAGAGATGATAATCAAGAAAATAATAATTATTCATCATCATCATCATCATCATTAATTATTAATTATGCAATAAAACATTTAAAAACAATAAAATATCTTCATAATGAACTTGTTATACAACGTCATGAACAAGATATTCCATGTGATATGGCTATTGGAACAAAATTAATTTTCGATATGATACATCGAACTCCAAGACCATTAGCTATATTTAGTGGTTCATGTCAAACAGTAGCATCAGCTATTGCTGAAATAGCAGGAGTATATGATATGATTATAGTATGACGATTGATTTTAGTTTAATATTTATTCACTTTCTTTTTTTTTTTTTGTTTTTGTTGAATAGGTAATCTATTCTGAAACAAGTTCACTTTTTACTGCTAGAGAAAAATATCCATCATTAATACGAACTGTACCAGGTGATTCTCAACATAATATAGGTAAATAAAAAAAAATCATTAACAAAAATCAAAAATTTCTTATTAGCACGAAAATTATTATTGAGAAAATATAATTGGCGTCGATTTGGAATATTATATCAATATGAAAGACAATATACTATGGTATATTAAATAAAATAATTATATTTATTTATTTATTTTATTCATTATAGCCTGTAACACGATTCAATGATCTTTTACAAGATGAAAATGATTGGGAAAATGCTTTATCGAAAGGTATATCATTTAATGATCTTGATGAAACACAAGGTAATCGAACAAGAAATTCATTAAAAGATGCATTTGATGAATTGCAGGTAAATTTTTGATTTAGTAAAAAAAAGAATTTTGAATAATACTGAATTGTTTAATATAGATAGATTCTTTTTATTAACAAAACACAGGAACATGCAGTCGGAGAAAATTTCCTAAATAAAAAAATTTTGCCGGAAGTTTCATAAAAATGTTTTGAAGAATTGCTTTTGTTTTGAATATTATTACTATGACATACTTAATGAGTATATAATTTGTCATCTATTATATTCAAATAATAGATAACCTTTTTAAACAATACAAAGATGTCATTTGATCAATACATATATATATATATATTTTCTTTCTGGAGAAAAAAAAATTTCACAAATCATCTATGTCATTATTTTTTAAGTTTCATATTAAAATTTTACTGAGTTTTTCAAAGAACAAAATCTATGATTTCGAATTTTGCATGAATAAAGTTTTCATTGAAGAAGTTATGATTTTTCTAAGTATCTCCTATCCGATGATATTGAATATTCGGAATTCTTTCATGTGTAAAAGCAAATTATGTTCATCTTCAGAAAGGAAATACACTAGAAAAACAAAAATTTGCATGATCAACTAATCTCATTGAAGACTTTGTTTGTGTAAAGTTTGAAGACGAAAATTGATTTTCTATGTGATCAAAAACTTAACATCGTCTCGATTGTAAAAAATCAGTTTAACATCTGAAGAGATTTCTTCATCAGCAATGTTTATTTATTTATTTATTAATCTTCAAAAAATTCAATATAAATCAATATTTTCTAATTTTTTATTCTAGAGAAATAACATTCGAATAATTATTGGTAATTTTAATTCAACAATGGCTATACGAATATTTTGTGAAGTAAATAAATAAATAAAATTTTTTGTATTAAAAATTTTATGAATATTATTATTTAGGCATTTCGTTATAATTTATTCGGTTCACGTTTTCAATGGATTATTGTTGGTTATTATGAACCTGAATGGTGGTTAAATAATCCGGGTCCTTGTAATACATCAGAAATTCTACTTGCATTGAATGGTACACTTCAAACTCGTGTTGCTAAATTAGGTTATCATGTTAATACACGAACAATAGCTGATTTAGTTTGTATATAGTATTTTTTTAAATTCTATTTTTACATATGTTTTTTTTTTTTTTAATTTTTCAGACACCAGATCAATTTAATTTTGATTTATCAATACTTAAAACATCAAATTATTTTGTTGGTTATGCATTTGATGCTATTTTAACATTAACATCTGCATTTGAAAAATTAAAAAATTGTCCAAATAAATTTCATATTGATTCTATATGGCGTCAAACATGTTGGCGTCATGAATTAATTAATATAATTAAAACAATTGATATTGAAGGTGTTACTGGACGTATACGTTTTAATAATGGTGATCGTATTGGTGAAATTGTTATTGAACAAATTTTAGGTATAACAGAATAAATTTTATATTTTTTTGCAACTTTTCACATAGTTTATCATAGTTACAAATCAACAATAGTTGATATTGTTCAATTATTTGTTGCATTACCAACAAATCAATCAAAATATATTCTTTTACCAGCAAGAAATGAACGAAATATAACTTGGCATGGTAAAAAAAAATGTTTTTTAGTATTTTTTTTGAAAATTTTTAATTTAAAAAAGTAAAATAAAATAGGTCAAGGACCACCAAATGATCGTATAAAACGTATTGAACTTGATCAACGAATTTCTATATTAACATATACAATAATGGCTACGATTAGTGGTATAGGAATTCTTTTAGCACTAGGATTTTTTGTATTTAATATTTTTTTTCGTACACATAGGTAAAGAAAATTGATTCTTTTTTTTTTGACAGTAAATATTTAATATTGGTTTTTTTTTTTTGTTATAAATAGATTTATTCGAATGTCAAGTCCACAAATAAATAATTTAATTATAGCTGGTTGTATTCTTTCATATACCAGTGTTCTTTTAATGGGTATTGATTCGACTTTATTAGGAAAAAGAAGTTCAGAATCAGCAATGAATTTTATTTGTGCAGTAAGATTTATTGATGAATTTGATATATTAATTCTTTTTTTTTGAAAAAAAAAACAAGGCTCGTGTTTGGACTTTATCAATTGGTTTTACTATATCATTTGGAGCTATATTTAGTAAAACATGGCGTGTTCATACAATATTTACTAAAGTTCATGCATCAAAACGAGTAAATAATAGAATAAGTTAAGTGAAAAAAAAAAAAAATTTGTTTTATTTTTAAGGCAATTAGAGATTATCGTTTATTTATTTTTGTTGGAATACTTTTTGCTATTGATACAGTTCTATTAACATCATGGCAAATTGTTGATCCATTAAAAATTTTTAAAGATATTAGTCAAACACAAGTAATAGATAAAAATTTTCAACAAAAAAAAAAATTCAAATAATTATTCATTATTATTTTATATAAAATATAGACAAAAGATGAAGATGTTGTTATTGTATGGATTTATGAACAATGTCGATCTAATCGTCGATCAATATGGATTATAATGCTATCAATTTATAAAGGTGTATTAATGGTAAGTCATATCCAAATAATATTTCAAATGATTCTTTGCTTGAAAAATGATTTGACATCAATAGGAAAATTTAGATTACACATGCATAGAATCCGAACTTGAGTTTCTTACTCGAGAATAGAGAAGTGCGGGGGTGAAGTTTTTTGGTCCCGGAAGCTTCTTTTCTAGTAGTGTCGATCTAGAGAAAACTATTCAAGAATTGAATTATGTTATCATTAATGATTTATTATATAAGATAATTCGCTTAAAGGCATAGAATATTTAACTATCATCCTTAGTTCCCAGTTAGGACAATTTTTCTTTACCGGGGTCCTGCACATCTATATTCGTGAACTATTCAGTCAGTTCAGAGAGTTTTGAATCTTTAAGTAATTGACGATGAAATTCTAATAAAAATTTTTTGATTATGCATTTATATTGAAAACAAAGTAACTCGAGAAAAAAAAAGATGTTTCCTGTCATTTATTACGCATAGGTCGCATATGAGTAGAACTTATCAGGTTCACTCCGGATCTGATGGACACTCTGCATATGATCCAGAATAGTGCTTTCATATCTCTAAACAAGACTTTATTAAATGTTCGAAATTGTCCCAATTCAATTATTTCTTTTATTCCGAATAGATAGTTTCTATGGATTGGATCAAAAATGATAGCTCATTTTTCTTTCATACACAAGTTAATGTTTACAAAAAAAAATAAAAAAGATTCATATTAATAAGAGTAGAACGAAAATGTTTTAATCCTAAGTAGCACAGCTTCTTAAAAATCTTTAATTTAATATTTTTTTTATTTTTTTTATTAAATAAGGTTGCTGGATCACGTTTTGCATGGGCAACACGAAATGTTCGTATAACTGCATTAAATGATTCAACTTATGTTGGTATGAGTCTTTATAATGTTGTTCTACTAAGTATAACAACAGCTGTTGTTGGTTATTTTTTACGTGATCAACATGAACGTTCTTATATAATAACATCTGTTTTTATTTTATTTTGTGTTACAATAACATTATGTCTTGTATTTGTACCAAAAGTTCTTGAAGTAGCAAAAGATCCCAGTTCAAAAACTAAACCACAACGTGCAATTGCAACAAATACGAAACGTCGTTTATCAAGAGATAAACGAAATATTAAACAACAACCAAAATTACCTATTAAATACTTAATAAGTCAAAATGAAATGTTACGATTAAATGTAGCAAGGGTTAGAAATTTTTATTTTGATTAATATTGAAGAAAAGGAACTATATAGTGCTTATACTCTTTCTGCTAACTTTCTTTTAACTTCATAATAGTTCACTATTAATAAGTGTACTTTCATATAGGCTATCAAAATAATAATAAAAATGATGGTACAAGTTTCTGAAGAGAGAAGGATTTAGTTTCTCTGAATCTTCATCTTCGAAATTTTTCTAGACTTCTCAATACAAAAAACTGTAGTCACATGGAAAATTGACTTTCGAATTCTAACTTTACATGAACAAAGTTTTTAATAAGATTAGTTGATTGTGCAACTAGTTTCTTCTTTCTGAATATGTAAATATACGAATAAAATTTGCTTTTACATATGAGAAAATTTCAAATATTCGATATCTCAAGAACGAAGGCCTGAGAAAACAAAACCATTCTAGACTTTTGTATTACTCATCAAATAAATATTGTCTCTGTCGAAAAGTGATTTGATATGTCAAGAGATTCTCTCAGCTCCCAAAGGTCCATGGAAACGAACCTTTTTGAACTTTTTCTTGTCTTGCCGAGATCTCCTTGTGAATGTAATATAAGCTCTAACGGTGTATATCACTTCGTGTAGTTCTCGCGTAAGAATTTTTTTCTTGTTATTGATAAGTCGGATTTATCTCTTTGATTATTGATAACAGTTAAAGAAAATATTTGTTCCCAATAGGAAAATCAAAATATCAAACTTGTCAAGATTTTCTTTTTTTTTTTTTTTTACTTTAGTGTGATGAATTAATTAATAGACTTTCATCTGCAGTAGCAGATCCAAATTATAAAACATTTCGATATGAAATATTTTTACGTATGTTAATAATTGAAACAAAAAAAAATAAATAACAAATTGAGCTAATGATCTTCCATTATTTTAGCAATATCAACATGCATCAATGATGAAATAAAGCACATTCAAGAATCCGATTGGTTATTGGAAGATGAAAATAAACTACAAATATAAAGAGAATATCTCATTGATTCATTTGTAATTTATTAGTTTTTTTTTTCTTCTTGTGATGACTGTTTATTTTTTGTTCTGTAAGAGTAAAATAATTGTACAAATAAAACAAAAAAAAAAGTTCCAGAATCGTACTATTTCATTTAACTCATATGAATTTTTTGTTTGTTTGTTTGTTTGTTTTTTCATCAATCATTCTAAGTAATTTATAGGTAAAATACTTTATTAATTGATCTATGTGATTCTTTTTCTTTCTTCCTTGATATTTCTCTCTCTCTCTAGGAATCTTCTTTTTTCTTGGTCAATAATTATTATCGATCACTAGTATATGTGTTGATATACCATTCTTTCTATATCTCATAGAGAAAGAATCAAAATGTATGTTTATCAGGTTGTTTGAGAGAACGATAGAGAATGACAAAAGGAATGTTAGTACCATTATTATGCTAAAAGAAAAAAAAAGACGAGTGCGGTTATAACATGCGCCGGCCACGGCCATTGTCATTAAGTAAAGAACAACAAGAAAATACATAATAAAAAAAAAGACAGAAAGACGTTTGCAGCAATTCTCGTCTATCTTTTAGCTTTTTTTTTTCTACTCTTTCGAAGGCCAGCATAACGACGTATTAGTATATAAACAACAAATTTGTTGCCTTCATTAGCAAAACAAGATGTATGGTAATTCGATCTTGCTAACTTTTATTTTGCTTATTGTATTGATTAATGGACAATATGATAATAAAAAAGATTTCCTACAAGGTATTACAACAAAATCTTTTGATTATTTATTTCATCGTTCTTTTTTTTTTTTTTGAAACTTAGACATAGATGAACCAATTCGAACTTCAAAATCATCATTTAATGCACAATTTAGTCGTGGACGATGTCCTGATCGTTTTTATCAAATAGGTGATGAATGTTTATATTTTGGTACTGATGGTAGAAAATATTCATGGCATCAAACACAACGTATATGTACAATACGAATAGCTCGTTTATTACAACAAACAACATTTACTATTGGTCAAGTTAATATAAAACCAAATAAAGGTGTACGACAATTAATATTAAATACACCAGAAAAAACAAAAATTTTAGAAGGTCTTTATCGGGAATATGATGAATTAAATTTTGCTATACGTCTTCCATCAGATTATAATACATTAAATCGTTGTCATGATGATAAAGAAGATGATTGGCCACAATATTGTGTTAATCCACATAATTCTAATGCAACATGTTTTGAAACTAGTGGACTTGATTCAAATAATATTTGTTTACGTCAAATAGATTGTGATAAAAAATATTTAAGATTTGCATGTGAATTTACATTACCAGGTTTTTTTTTTGTTATTTGAAAGAAAATGATAGAAAATATAAGATTATTTTTATTTAGGAAGTTCTGAATTGACTACTTCAAAATTTCGTAATTGTCCAAAAAGTCATGGTCTTCGTCATCGTTTATCAATATGGGCTTGGCTTTTAGTTGCTTTTGGTGGCATGTTATTACTTCTTCTTATTCTTGGTGGTGTTTTAACATTTATTCGTAATTTAAAAAAAGACTCACCTCAAGTAAGAAAATCAATAGCAGAATCTATTCGTGCTGATGAAAAAGGTATTCATTAAATTTTACGTATCAAAGAAATCATAAAAGATTTATCTATTATTTTAATTTTAGCTATGAATGTCACAACAAATCGTTTAAGTTCTGTTTCTGAACCGGTATAAATTCTTATTTTTCTATTCATTTGAGATCTGATAATATTTGTTATTATAGATGCTTGTTCGATCTGCTCGAACTAGTAGTACATCTAATACTAACTATCTAGAGACACAACCATTACAACGTGTAATTTCCCCGACAATCAAAACAACAACAGTAGGGCAAGATGGTACTTCTCCATATGTTTAATTATAACATATTAAATTCGGTATCTTTTTTGTGTGCGATGTTCTGCCGTCCTATGAACGTCGGTTTATTTTTCTTGTCTTTTATATATATATATGTATTTTTTCATTATAAAAAAGAAACACAAACAAACAAAAACAACGATCTGTTATGCATGTGTGTGTATATATATGTGTGTGTGTGTGTGTGTGTGGGTGAATCAAAGAAGATCATTAATTAATCTACGTCAGTAATAGTTGATAAAGGTACTGAAGGTACTTTCTTTGAGTTTTGTTGAGTGGCTGTTGGTGATGATGTTTGTTCATTTGATGGAGTTTTTTTTAATGAACGTTCAAGTAAATAAGCATCCGATGGTTCTAAACGTCGATAATATTCAACTGCTGTTGAAATAATTTGAAAACCAAATTTTTTATAGAATGATAAAGCTGTTTCATTATTAACTTGAACATGTCTACATTAATCAAAATCAAAAAAAAAAACGATGAAATTATATAGAAAACTTTCATTTTTTTTTTATATACATACAAATATATACTATCAATATTTCCTTCACGTTCACAAACTTTAAAAACATGTTCAAGCATTAATGTACCTAATTATATTTTAAAAAAATAAAAATAAAAATCATATTAATCTATTAATTAAAAATTATTACCTAAACCAAGTTCACGATATTTTCCAAGAACACCTAATGTCATTATATATAATCGTCGACGATTATCCGTTAGATCAATACGACAGCATACGGCACCAACAACAATGTCATTACAATAAGCTATAGAAATTTTGTTTGTTTTTATTATAAATAATTAATCAAAATGATTCTATAGAATATCTATCTAATATATAGCTATTATTAACTAATGTATGTGTTTTTATCAAGAGATAAACAAAAAAAAAACAATCATAAAAGAAAATATCTTTAATATCCTCTAAAGAGGCTATTATCTCAAGATATAAATAATGTTATTCTGTCAAATTCTCGACTAGTATTTATATATATATTGATTACTATAATCAATCATTAATCTATATAGATAAACATAAGACAAAGTTTATCAAGGCTATTTCAACCCCTCGAAACTAAAAAAAAATCAATGTTATCGAAATAATAAAAACTAAGATAAATATACAAGAAGATAGTTTGAGTTCTACTGTTTTAGAAATAACATGATTTTGGATGTTTTTTTTTTTTTTTTTACAAAAGAAAACAGATTTTCAGTTATTTACATTGAAAATAAGTATTAAAATACATTTCATTTATAGTTCATAAAAAAAAAATAAAGCTCATCAAACGATGATACGCAATTTATTATCGAGATTTTCTTTTCCTCGAGGGCTAATCAGATCTTCAGAGGGGTGTCGCCCTCCCGACCTTCACACTGGATAACACAGTAATAATGAAAACAAGAAAAGATATTGAAAAACAACGTGATCGACACATATCATAACAATTCGCCATTTGTTCTTTCTTTTTCTTATGATTATTTATAAATCATAAGTACTGTTTTTATAATGACGCAAAATGTTTATGATAAATGTGAGCTGAGACAACTTACATTTCATTTTAATAGAACATTTTCAAGCAAGTCAACTATGTTTATTTATACATAATTCAAGAAAATATATGACAGTTGGTATTTATTCTGTTTGTTGTTTTTGATCGTAGAACTCAGAATTCTCTGTAGAACCTAACTGTATATATTTAATCTTTTATTTTTTGCTTGAAAGAGTATGTCAACATGCAGAGTTCCTTTTTTTTTTAAATTTAGTTTTGTTTTCATAATACATACAAAGACTTGTATAAATAGACGCTTGTTTTCTATGACCTTCAACTTGTCATCACATAAAAAGTAAAAAGTTCTAGTAAGAGTACTATGTCATGTCGTGCATATTGATACGTTCTTTGAAACAAAAACAATTAAATATAGTCGATAGAGAATTTTCGGTTGGAAAATGACCTATATTTTTATTTTTATTTAATGAATATCTCAAAAAAAAAAAAAACATCATAATACAGAGCTGAAGATTTTTACTATAGTCTCGTTAATATAGCTCGAATATATTCTGAAAAATTCAGGTTATTTGCATGTACCTAGTGTGAACTCGATTCTTAATATGGGAGGTAGCTTTAATGGTACTCTCTCATCATTTTTGGTTCTTGAAGACGATACAGCCGAAATTTTTACCACAGATGGAACATCAAAAATAAAGAGACACGTATATAAAGGGAAAAAATTTAGAAGTGGATTTTTGCTGGGAGACCCTGATTGCTTATGACTCTAATCAAATTTTGTCTGATTAGGCTGAGAATTATTTTTTTTTTGAGACACATAAGACTATATCTAACAATGGAATCACCTGAGGTGCCAACTCGGTCATCACGTAGGACTACGTTGAGACTAGAAGAATCTTTTTAGTCTCAACAGGCCCCCACCTAATGAATGGAGTATCACCTCAGATGGTTCCCTCGTATGAAGTAATTTTAAGTTTTTCCAAAAATCTCACTTTCTTTATTTTATGCGGGATAAGTAAAAGTTTGGAGCCAATACTTGGGGCTCAGCTTTTAGGGTCCCGTAAATCCGAATAGGAAAGTCAAAAAGAACGAAGATGACTAATTCTAACTCTGAAGAATACTTCTAATGGTAAAAATTTCAGCTTGATCGATTGTACCGTCTTCGAGAACGATCAAAACAAAAAGACGAAGTGAGTACTTTTAATGATCATATCAGAGTTGTAACCGGACCGGCAGACCGGCCGGTCCGTTCCGTTCCGGTCCGGTCCGGTCCGGTAGAAGATTTCTTACCGGCCGGTATACCGGCTGGTAGAACCAACTTTTTCTTTACCGGCCCGGTCTGAATTTTTTTTGAATTTTTCCCTATTTTTTTCCGAAAAAATGATCAAAAAGGTGGTTTTTTTCGAAAATCAAAAACTTTTTACTAATGTCGAAGACTATTTTGGTAAAAAAAATTGTATCAAACTATCCTATTGAGTCAAAATTTGTCATGGATGTTTTTATATTTATCCAATCCATGTGGGTACGACGTTCTGCCCGTATAGTTCAAGGAACGACATTTTATCATTTAAAACAGTTTTTATTGGCCAAAACTATCGTTTATCATACCTAAACGGTGTTTCAGAAAATAAAATAGCTGGATATTGACCTTCGTAAACAGCACAGAAATGTTATTATGTGTATATAAGCTCAAATGCATACAGAAACGTTTCCGTAGCGTTTACGAAGGTCAATTTCCAGCTATTTTCTGTTTTGAAACGACGTTTAGGTATGATAAACGATAGTTTTGGTCAATAAAAACTATTTTAACCGACAAAGTGTCGTTTCCTGAACCACATCGGTGTTGTTCAAATAAAATCAAATGATTAATTGTTTAGCATCGTAGTTTATCATGGATTTATTTGTATTTCCCATTATTTATTGCATATAGTCCTGACAGACACGAAAGATGACAAAGCGAGTATAGCATACGAGCAATAAATAGAGCCCATATTTGATGAATAGTTAATCAAAGTGCAAAATTAACATAGAATTTATGGTCGTATGAACTTTTGTGCTCACCAACAGATATCGAGAAACAGGACACATATGAAAGCAAATAGTAAAAAACACTGCAGTGGCGAAATAGTACTTTTATATCATAGCTGTAGTGATTAGAAGGAATATATGACTCATCTAGGTATTGATTTGAGCGTTATAGGGTCAGAAAACAGAAGAATAATTTATACCGGTATACCGCCCGGTCCGGTCCGGTCTGACCAGTTAGACCGGTACCGGTACCGGTAAGGAAAAAACCCTACCGGTTACAACTCTGGATCATATTATATTATGATTACAAAAAATTTTCTTTTAAAAAAAAATAAAATCTTCTAATATACCTAGTTTGCATAATTCTCCAGCACCTAATAAATCTTTATAAAATTTTTCATTATAAGCAACTGGAAAAACATCCCGATTGAGTACTTTAAGTTGTTTTAAATTATGTTGTGTTAAATCACCTAATTCAATTGTGACACGTTTAACTCTAAAAGAAAACAAAAAACGATAATTAATTAATTTAAATAAATAGAAAACTAACGTTCGTTTTGTTCGGTTTTCTTTGGATTCACTATTATTAATATTATTATTATTCATCATAACAGTATTTGTCATATCTAGAAAAACCAAAAAAAAAAACGAAACAATGTTATAATAGATTTTTTTCATGTTTATAAAAAATTCTTTTCATTTTTTTATTGTTTTTTTTTTTAATATTTGTTTAAAGTCTTAAATTTTCCATTTCTTCTATTAATTCATTTTCACGTTTTATTTTTTCTAATTGATCAACTTCAAGTTTATCACCATTTGCTAATCGTTCTTTAAGACCTTTAATTTGTTGTAATTTCTAAATATTTATTAAATTTAAATAATAAATCATCAAAAAAAACAAACAAACATACTTTATGTGTTTGTTTAATTTTTTTATCCTTTTCAAGATCACCAGTAAATAATTCTTCAACACCACCAGGTTTCGGTACACGTGGCGTTTGTTGTGTCGCTGGTTTTACTGGTACATCTTCATGTAATTTAGGAACTTGTCGAGTTGTTTGTCGAAGATGTGGTGGTCTATAAGCAGCTGCTGCTTTCGCTGTTTAAACAGAAAAAAAATTCAGATAGGATATGATATTTTTTTTTGTCTTCTAAAGAGTGATATGAAAATTTTGAGACACAATATCTCACAGCAATCTTCCAGAAATAATCGAGCTGATAAAAGTAATTTAATTCTACCGTAGATGGTTATTTTTTGTGCGGTGAGACTTGTCTAAACTTAATTTTCATATCTTTTAGAGATGCACTCATAATTCTTAAACTATGAGTTCTAGGAAAATTTCAAAAGAGTATAAAATTTCTTTTAATCGATCGAGCACAATGGAGGAATATTTTGTCTTAAAAAAATTTTCAAGTAATCCGTTATATTACGTTTTCCTGGTGCAGAACCATCGTCAGATCTAATTGCTGCTCGTTGACCACGAGTATATGTTCCAGGTTGCCATAAAACTTGCCATAATTCTTGATTTTCACTTGTTTTATATTCATAAATAAGTTCACCAGTTAAACGCCAGACTTTAAAACTAAAACAAAAAAAAAAACAATTTCTAAATTCTTATGATTTAAAAATTATATAAGGATTCGTGCCCATGGCTCTCCGATAGAGATGGAACTAGTACGGATTTTAGATAGAACAGTCTGCCAGTAGACTAGTTCCATCTCTGACCTTCGGAGCCGAATTATAACCGTTTTTCGCCCATTCTTAGCTATTTACTGGAAAATTGAATACTGGATTTAGACCTGAAATTCAGTAAAACCCTCATAATTCGGCTCCAGAAGCCAATGAACACGAATTTTTTCTAGTCTTATCGAGATTTTCTTGATTCGGATAGTTAGTATTCGTACCCATTTTTTACTCGTAAACGTGGTGCCGTAGTAGCTGTAATAAAATGAAAATTATCATAACACCATTGAAAATGTGTTGTATCGAGTGCTTCAATTTGTGATAGACGTTTACGATCTTTCATATTCCTAAAAAATAAAATAAACAAAAAGAAAAACAATATATTTCAATTGAAATTTATCTATATTTGATTATAACATACCAAACTTCAATATTTCCTGCAACATTTCCAAAACCACAAAGAGCAATATGTAAACCATCAAAACTATAATATGCAGCATTTTTTGCTCCTGAACTAAGTTCCCATGCAACATCACATTTAGAATTAAATATTGTTGCTTTTGATGGCATGACTAGAAAATAAAAGAGAAGTTAAAATAATTTATTCTAAATAAGAATTTTAAACATACATCCATAAACAACACAAAATTCATCTGCAATTGGTGACCATTCCATACTATAAATAGGACCTGCTTTACCTATTTAAAAGAAGAAAGAAAACAACATATTCATAATTGAAAAAATATGAAATAAATTGATTAATTATTTACTTAATTGAACATTACTACTATCACCATTTCGATTAAGATGTTGAAGCATTGTATCACCATAATAACTATTTTCTGACATATCTGAACTACAAAGTACAAGTAATGCTGTTCCTAAAATAATGAATGTTTTTTTTGTCTTAATAAATATACAAAAGGAAAAATTTATATTAACCTTTATAATTCCATTTCATATTAACATGATCAAAATTAAAAAAACTTTTGCTTGCAATAGTTGTTTTTAAATTGGGATAAGTAAATAATCGAACAGAATCTGGTATACCCTATATTAAATAATATGACCAAAAAAAAAATATATATATATATATAACATAATCATATAGGTTTTTTTTTTTCATTACCTTTTTACCTTTGATATAACTTGCTATTGTATATGGTGCATTACTCTTACCTAAACTAAATATTTGTAAACCCTCAATATGTAGTCGATTAACATAACGTTCTTTAGTTAAATAAAAGAAAAAAAATGCATTAAGAAATAAAAATCTTTTTTGAGACCAATCATTAGAATTTACCAAAATTTGGTACTTCATAAAACCATACTTGATTTGTTTGTATACGACCAAATATAGCTTCATCATTGGACCAAATCGGTGCCCTAAAAGAATATATAATTAATTCAATTTGATATTATACTAAACTTCTCACAGTATACATTTTATGCAAAGCAGATGATACATGTAACTTTCGTTCGCTAGGGAAACTCTTGCTCATATTTTTTTCGAGAAAATTTTTTTAATAAAAAAATATCTTACGCCATACATCATTCGATATAGTTCCACACGCACTGATTTCAATTATATCAATGATTTTCTATAGAAATGCTTTGAAGTCTGAAACCAAGAAAGTTTAGCGAAAGAATCAAAGCATTTTGGAAAATCTGATATATGATTCAAGAGTAAGGATCGGTGTGGTTCACGATTGTTGAAATAGCTACACATTCTGTATTCCTGCTAACTAGTTAGATGTTTCGAAACACAAATGGCCTCATTGTTTTTTCATAGATCTCATATTGGCAACCAGAGCTCCGCGGAGTTCTGCATAATCGTAATTTATATTCTGAACGATAACAATGCTAAAATAAAATAAAATTTTAGATGCATGATCCTTCTCATTTTGTTTCAGAAGGTTAACAGTAGAACCCTGCGGGATAGTTCCAAACCACGGACGATTCCGAATGTCCCGCGGAATGGGACAAACAGGATTTGAGATTCGAAAAAAGTTCATCCCGCAGGACTTAAGTTGACAGAAATATCCTTAGTGGAAATTGTTTATATTAAATTTTTCTTTGACAACATCTTTCGAGTAACAGCTGAATTGTTCATTATTCACTTGATTAGATAAATTTTGTTTTCTTTCCTTTCACTTTCAATCATAGAATCGATATATCGAACTTTCCTCAATAATACCTAAAGCTTACATTAAGAGATCCTAACAAACTAAAACTAATTTTCATGACCGTGAGCGGTTATGCTAACTGTGGTGATAGAGAACACCGAATAGAATATTTTGACATAGTTTGAGCTGATATAGATTGATACGAAGGGTCGTGGGTAGCCATTAACATTTTCCCGAAAATCAAATTAAATGATTTCTTCGATGATCAATACTAGACGATATACAAAATTTCGGTTGTTACACTCCACTCAAAATTCGTAGCATATCCTCATGAATGCAAACTATATTCCTTAAGATCCTATATAATATCTGATGGCTATACAGTTTTTTATTTTATTCTTACCATTCATTTTGTTTTTTTTGAACATAAGATGCCATTAATTCTCCATTAATTGATTTATAAATATATAAATTTGATTTTTCATCTTCACCAGCTACAGCTATTTGCATGAAAATGAATTGATTTTATTTTATTTTTTCTTAAAATTTTTATCTTACTTTACATACTCGTAAATGGTTCAAATAATAATAAATATGTATCTTGTGGACTATATTCTAAAGCATTTATTCTTCGTTTTGGTAATTCATATAAAACTTGACGTGTATTACAACAATAAACTTGAATACTAAATAATAATAAAAAATATATATAAAGATGAAAATTTCGAAATATTTTTTCTTGTATCAAAACGAACTTGTCTTTATTAGCAATAACAAATTGATGACCACTTCGACTAAAACATGTTAAACGACAATTTTCAACATCAAAAACTACAACTTTGCTAATATCAGCTTCATCAGCTGGACTTGTTACTAATTGAACAGCACCTGGACCACGAACTAAAATAAAGAAAATAATTCTTTTCTTTATTTTAATGATCAAATAAATCTACCTGCTAATAATGGTACTGAACATGTATTTGATATAGCACAAGCCATATGAAAGTCTTCTTTCTTTCTTTTTTTTTTAATTTATTCTAGCAAATAAATAAATATTTTTTTTGCTTTTGTTTTGTTTCATCAAACTAATGACATCTATATTAATATTTAACCAATGAAAAATCAACTGAAGAAGAATTTAAAAAATAAACACAATACACGGACATACGTACACACATTTGCTCGTCTCTTTTTTTTTTGTCTCTTCTAACTATGTCGATTACATTTAAAAAAAAAATTTCATCAACATCGAATACACGTTTACCAATAGGTACACGTTTAAATTCTAATGGAACATTATTATTAACATCATCTGGTATATCATCACTTGATACATTCGTAGGTGAAGGTTTACCTATTGGTTCTCTTGTACTTATATATGAAGATAAATATTCTAATATATCAGATTCTATTTTACGTTGTTATTTATCTGAAGGTATTTATAATAAACATGATTTATGTATATCAGCATTAAGAAATGATCCAACAGAAAATTTACCAACAAAAGAAGAATATAAATTATTAGATAATGATTTAAATAATGAAAATGATAAAATGAAAATTGCATGGCGTTATGAAAATCTTTCAACAATTAATTCATCATCATCATCATCATCAACAACAAATATTCATTATGATTTACAAAGTACAAAATCTATATCAAATGAATTAATTGAACAAATTAAAATTCATAAATTAACATGGAATGATTACATACAAACACAAACACAAACATCAATATCATATAGAAATTATTTATTAAAATCTCTTCATCAACTTTTAACAACAAATTATTCATCACAATCTATTGATAAACGTATTCTTCGTATTGGTATACAATCATTATCATTATCATTATTTGATCATGATAATAAATCTCATTTTGATGAATTATTTTCATTTTTATATTATCTTCGAATATTATTACGTACATCATTAGCAACATGTATAATAACATTAAATGAAAAATCAAAATTATTTGAAACATTAGCTGATATTGTATTTGAATTAAAATTATCAAATATAAATCATAGTGATTATATAGGTTTTTGTCAATTAATTAAATTACCTCGATTAAATACAATTCAACCATTTATTCCTGATACATGGGATATTGGAATAAAATTAATAAAACATCGAAAAAATATTATTTTTGAAAAATATTCTATACCACCAGATCTAAGTCAAGATGCAAGTCGAGATGATAAACATAAAACATTATCATGTTCATCATCAACACAATTAGATTTTTAAAAGATACTTTTTAAAAATCTCTTTTTTTATTTTTATTCTAGATTAAAAAAAAATTTCTCCTTTTTTTATATTCTAATGGATGAAGAAGAAGATGATACATCATCATTTCGTACACATTTATTCGATTTGTCAATTAAACGATCGAATAGTTCACCTGCTCTTCCTCTACTTGTTTCTACTGCAGAGTATGACAAGAATTTCAATTTAATTCTTTTGACATTTTAATTGATTGTATTTTTGTTTTTTTTTTTTTAGAAATGATATGCAATTCGATGATGCTGATTTTTGTGATGCCAAATTACGTCGACACAGTTCATCATTTGTAAGTTCAAACTTATTCTAAAATTCTTTATTTTTTCATACGTGATAGATTAAAATTTCTTTGGAAATCTTCATATCATTGCTAAGGCTTAAGTATTTAAATGTATGCAAAAAGATTATGTCATGAAGATTTCCTTGGAGATAATCATATAAAATTTATGTAAGTTCAGTCCTATTGCATTGATACACAAGAGTTGTACGAGAAATCAAATAATTGAAACTGTAAATCCTTGATTGTATTTTGATAAAAATGTTTTTTCTTTCGCTTCTGTTATGCTTTTTGTTGATTAAAAAAAAAAAGATATTTATCTCGAAATTTATTTAGAGTTCTCATCAATCTCGTCTTAGTCGTTTCGCTCATATAATGAAAAATGAATTAACTAATCCGATTGTTGATGAAGCTTCACAAGAACGGTATGTTGTTGTTGTTGAAACAAAACAAAACTTATTTTTCAATTTTAGTGATTTACATGATAATCTCAAAATGTCGATATCATTCACTGATTTAGCAGTTGGAGTAAGTTTACAAAAAAAAAAATAAAATAAAGTTAAATAATATATTTTTTTAGGACGAACAACAGTCACAACAACCAGCTCATTTAATAGATAGTCGTCGATCATCAGTAAACAGTTCAGATTCATCTAATCTCTGCTATTCATCTTCGCCAAGCCCATCAACTCCTGCTCGACCTTGTACTGTTGTTAGTAATCAAAGAGTAAGTATTAACATTTGTAAGAAAAAAAACCTATTTTTATTCTTTTTTTTTATTTTCTAGCAATGTTATAGTCCAGCTCTTCAGCAACAAGTTGCACCATTTCAATGTTATTTAGCTTCTCCACCTAGTCGTTCACAAAGTCCTATTGGAATGATGACAAATACAAATAATAACAATAATAATAATAATAATAATAATAATAATTCATCAAGTAAAATTACATCTTTTCCACCTAATCTTAAACGAAAACGTAAGTTGAAGAAATTTTCTTTCATGTTTTCTATTGATATTCGCTTTCTAGAAGCTGATGATTCAACAACAACTGGACTAAGTAGTAAAAAAACTAGAATAGGCAGTGATAATGAATCACTGTTTGGATCAACTAATTCACCGTAAGTATTCACAATTTTATACACTAACAGTTCGAGGAAAAAAAGACAGTAATTCAATATCAAGGTATTCGATAATATTCAAATCACCCAAATGACCTTTGAATATCTTGAAAAGAATTTGAACTCTGAGCTAATTGCTGTAGAGATACTACTTTTAAATGAATGCCATATTTCTTCTCAGGAAAGTTAATTTTCAACTTGGAACTTTTTACAACGACAGACCTTAACAAAAGTAGTTTCTGGTCTTTTGATTTACTTCTATCCTAAAATAAGAATATCGAATCTGCCGATGGATATGAGTGTGAAATAAAAGACACGCTATTATCTTAGAATGGGAACAACGATAAGAATTGTAACATTCACTAATATGATATTATTAATAGAAAACTGTTTGCAAAAAAACAATGTACACTATGGTTGTCGGATATTTCTTTATATACACGTCTATTTGAAGTGGTTTATCTCTGAAATGATTGATTATAAATAGACATTGGCGTGACCAATGTTTTTTGGTCACGGTCACGGTCAAGGTCGTGACCGTAAATTACAAGAATTCTAATGACTGTAATCGTACAGTATTTTTCAGTCACCTATGTGTATATAAATTATGCAGACACAATATTGACTAAATAGTGTTTCTGTTGGCAGCAATAACCAGAAAAAGTTCGAGTTCACTTCAGTACCAACATTCTGTTATTTTTCGTTCATATAAATCACTTAATTGTTACCAAGTACTTAATAGTATATCCCTCATATGGGATAAGCAAGCACCGAATGCGAAAGTTTTGATAAAGGTTTGGCCTTGAATGCTGTCATTTTCAGTCAATTGATAAAACTATGAAACAGAAGTCGATGTCTAATTATCATCTAGTTCTCCTTTGATATTGAACTAAATTTATTCAGTTTAATTTGTTGAGATTATGAATAGATATACAACTATTTTGAAAAATATCTAAAACATAAACAATCATATTTTCATTAGGTTACAGCTTATCCAATTAACGATCTTCATGTGTTTTTACTGTTCATCGAAAAACTTCTTGCAATAAAACTTAATTAAAAATATGAAATAGATAATCTAGTAAATTTAAAATGTCTCAATCCTGAATATAGATCTACTTTATAATTGTTTCATAAAACATAAAAGTACTCGAAAAAAAAATACGTTCTACTTTTGTGTAAAAAAATTTTTTTTTTTTTTGTAGAAACAGTTGTATCAATAGATTTTCTTATCTTATCTTTTAGTGAATCTCCATCATCGTCATCATCTGGTCTAATTGATTCGAATACAAATTTACTTACTACTCAACAATCACTCAATTTTCTTTCTTCGATAGCTCCATCTTTATCTTCTTCATCTTCTTCTTCATCAACTACAATTAGTAATGATAATAGACATTTTAAACCTATACAACATCCTGATAATGATTTATTTCCTCCACCAAATTCACCAAGTATGTGTCCAAGTCCAACAAATTCTACATGTTCATCATCATCATCATCAATAACATTTACACCTATATCTCCAGTATCAACAACACCATCATCATCATCATTTTTACTGTTACCAGCAAATTTTAATCGTTCAACAGTTATACCATCATCAACATTATTTATACCATCAGCTACAACAAATATTACTATAAATACAAATTGTTCTAAATTAAAATCAACTAATCAAAATCAACTTCAACGTGGTCGTTCACTTGATGATTCATCAACACTTCAACCATTATCTGTTATATTACCAAGAACAACAACAACAACCACAACATCAACAACTTCTCAACAAAAATCAACTAATTCATCATCTAAACAACAATTTTTCTTTTCATCTGATGACAATAATTCAACAACTGCTCAATGAGAATTTGCTGATCATCGTTTTTTTATGTACAAAGTGTGATGTTTATTATAATTTTTTTTTTTTTTGCTGTCGAATTTTGATTGTCTTTTTTCCCCTTCACATGTGCTCACTATGCTATGGCGCTTCCATTCTTTGGTTCTTCTTTTTTTTCTTTCTGCTTTGCATCATTCCAAGCAAACCAACAAAGCAAATGCTGTTTATCAACTTTTCAAAATAGTAATATGTTATACATATAACAAAAAACAAGCAAACAAATAAATGCTTTCTTCTTACTCATATAAATACCAATGCCACGAACTTATGTGGTGAATTGAAAAACAATAAGTAACTTCTTGTGTTCTTTTTTTTTTTCTGTTTCTTGTCTTTGTATGTAGTCTGTAGTCTTTTTCTTTATTTGTGAACCTATATACACATATACATATATTGTTTGCTGATCCTTTGAATATATATATATATACGTTGAGCTTTCACTCTACTTCTTCTTACTATTGAAATATATACATATATATATATATTTACAAAAAAGAAAAATACATATTAAAAGAAAAAAACTAAATTTAAGAGAATTATAGATAATGACTTTTGATCCAACTAAACATTCACATTGTCGATATAATCCATTGAAAGATGAATGGATACTGGTTTCACCACAACGATTAAGTCGACCATGGCAAGGTTGGTCTAATATTTATACGTAGAATTTTCTTGATTATTAGTAATTCTTTTATAATAGGTCAAGTTCATGATGATAAAAATGATGCTGATGATGATGATGAAAATAATAATAACAATCAACAATCGACAAATCCTCTTTGTCCTGGTGCTATTCGAGGAAAAACAAATGAACGTAATCCATTTTATGAACATACATATGTTTTTGATAATGATTTTCCTGCATTATTATCTGATATTTCTGATGATCAAAATGATAATAATAATGATGATCTTTTTCGATGTCATGTAGCTCGTGGTGTTTGTAAAGTAATATGTTTTCATCCAAATTCAAAATTAACTTTACCACGTATGACTCTTGATGATATTACATATGTAATAAAAACATGGATAGATGTTTATCGTGATTTAGCAAATAAATATCAATGGGTACAAATATTTGAAAATCGTGGAGAGATTATGGGATGTTCAAGTAAAATTTATATATATATATATATATATATTCTTCTTTTTTTTTTGTTATTAAATATTAGATCCACATCCACATTGTCAAGTATGGGCTACAGATTTTTTACCTAATGAAGCACGTATAAAACATCGAACACAAAAAGATTATTTTAAAAAACATAATGGAAATGTTCTTTTACTTGATTATATAAAACGTGAATTAAATGATTTTAAAAAAGAACGCATAGTTATCGATAATGAATATTGGATTGTTATTGTTCCATATTGGGCTACATGGCCTTATGAAACAATGTTATTACCTAAAAGACATATTCTTCGTTTATCAGATTTAACTAATGATGAACAAATTGGATTATGTCAAATAATGAAGCAATTATTAATTAAATATGATAATCTATTTAATACATCTTTTCCTTATTCAATGGGTTGGCATGGTGCACCAACAGGTAGTTTTAATAATGAAGATTGTTCACATTGGCAATTACATGCTTTATACTATCCACCATTAGTACGTTCAGCAACAATAAAAAAATTTATGGTTGGTTATGAAATGTTAGCACAAGCTCAACGTGATATAACACCAGAATATGCAGCTCAAAGTCTTCGTAATTTATCCGGTGAAATACATTATAAAGATAAAAAGAATAAATAAAATTTGAGTAATGACAAAATAGTTAAATAAATAAATAAATAAATAAATAAATAAATAAATAAATAAATAATGATTATCTTAGTCAAACATACACGCGTATGTTTACCCTTGATTTTAATGATAGATAGGCCCTTTTTAGTTTTCATTTGATAACCTTACTCTTGTAATTTTCTTTTTAGATTTTTATATTCTATAAATGGAATTAAGTAGTGACATAGAAGAAGATTTTCGTCGTTTAAATAATCAAACACATATATCTGATAAAAATTATGAAGAATTAATTCAAAAAATTTTTTCATTATTTACATCAACAAATTCAAATATTGAATTATCATCATCTTTTGATAAACGTCTTGTATCATCGATATTAACATTTATATTTGAATGTGTTAAATATGATTTTGATGAAACATTAATTCGTTCAAAATTTGATGATCTACAATTTACAATAAAAACTCGACAAGATCGATTTATAAATGAATATAATAAAAATTTATCAATTATTCAATTATATCTTAAACAAAAATCAATAGAATATGATCGTTTATTAAATATTAATTGGCGTTTAGATTTACAATTAAAAACAAATTATACTGATAAACTTCTTCAACCAATTTATATACTTGATTGGACTAAACGAGATAAATATACAACAAATATTGATCATATACAATTTAGTTGTACACAAGAAAGTTTACAAGAACTTGTAGAAAAATTAAAAGATGCACAAAGTGTTCTTCATCAAATGCAATATCAACAACAAACTAAGAAATGATTTTTTTTTTTGCAATAGAAAAGTTTTAATTATTGTTACACTAAAGAAATAATAATAATCGATTGTCTTTTTTTTTTTTTTTTGATTTTATTTGAATGACTTTTCTTAGATAAATTCGACTAATAACAGAGAAAATTTAGTTAAAAAGAGGAGCAAATCTTATCCCAGCACGATTTTCTTTATCTTCATGTTTATGATAATCTTAATTTGTAGAACAAATATTTGTCATATTATTTTTTCTATGATATCAAACAAATGTTTACACTATTAGTGTTTTGAATTATTTCTAACTGTTTTCTTCACTGAGCAATAGTAAAAATTCTTGAACTTTAATCTTAAGGTTTTATCAAAGTCAATTTTGCGTCGGGAATATTCAAATCGCATGAAACTTTTAAGATATGTTGTGACTGTAGCGGAGAGTGTATGGCGAAACTTTCAGCTTGATACTATAATATTTTCATGAGATATTCATCAAACAAGAGTCGAAAATTGTTAATTTGGCAACTCGAAATTCTCTTTAAGCTTTCATTCTCTACATTTCATGTTTATTCTGTTTGAAAGAGTATATCAGGCCCAGTAGCCTGGCATGCTCTTTCAAATAGGAAGAAAAATAAAATGTATAAGATGAAAACCTACAGAGAATTTCGTTTAAAAACTTATATAAAAAGTCTCACACATGTTGAACATCGCAGTTTTGAAAATACAATGTCTAAAATTTATAAAAGTCTTTTGTATAAGTGAGCCTGATCGAGGCCTATGTTTGTGTAAAGTTTTTGATCGAAAGCTATTTAGCAAAACAAAATTATTGTCATGTAAATAATACTATTCTCGATTTTGATGTTTGGTTTGATATTTGATCCTAGATAATCAAGTTCTAATAATTTTCCTTTGATTAAATTCTTTCGAAATATTTTTATATTTCTATTTATTTCTAGATTAGATCATTTAATATTCATATGGCATTGAATCTCTTTCGATCAAGTTTATTAATAACGAATAATCGTCAGTTAATAATTACTTTAATTAATATTCGTACACATTTTACTAAAACACCTAGTCATCATACAAAAGCTAAATGGAGACCATTTCGACGAGCAAAAATTCTTGATGTATATTTATTTATTTATCTTTTATTAATTTTGTAACCTATATTAATTATTATTATTTTTTTTATTTTTATTGTTTTAGATTGATCTACCTGATTTTGATAAAGATCGAAAATTACGTTCATATACATTACAAGAACAAAGAGAATTTTTAAAACGTGAAGGTATTCCTCCTGTTCGTAGTACTGAATATAAACCATTATATATCGATGCATCAAGTAAATATTATTATTTGTTGATTAATTAATAATTTATTCATTATTTTTTGTCTCTTAGCTGAAGCATTTGAAGCTTATGTACCACCAGAAGGAGATGGAAAAGCAACATTAATGTCAAAAGATGTAAGATTTATTGAATTATTAAAAGTATTTAAATTCAAATATATTTATATATTTAAAGAGATTAAATCAATTTTATACATCATTAAAAAAGAATCTAGCAACAAGAAAACATTCAAGTACAATTCGTAAATATGAACCAGATTTTGAACCATTATTATTTGCTGATATAGCTCAACAAAGATATATTGATGCACATCAAGCATTAATGGAGTAAATTAAAATATTTTATTTATTTAGTTTTTTTTTTTTTTTTATTCTTAAATAAATATTATTTTCTTAGTCGTGATGAAGAACGTCTTATTCAATTAGTAACACCGGGATCATTGGCAGTAAGATAGAATACATTGCATTTTATCTAGTTTTTATTCTTTTATTTTATTAGCAAATGAGTCGTGGTCTTCGTTATAAAACTTTACATTGGAAATGGGTTGAAGAAATTGAACCATCCTATGTTGTTGCAATCAAAAGTGGAGAAATTCTTAAAGGTATGACAATGGCTCAAATAACTGTACGAATGCATTCAAAACAAGTAAATATATAAAGAATTTTATTTTTATTTCATATTTATTTTGTTATTTTCAGATTTGTACAATTTATGATAGATTTGGTCGTTTAATGTTTGGTAATGAAACATTACCAAAAGATGTTCTTGAATATATTGTTTTTGAACGTGTATTAACATTATCATATAGTCAATGGCGTGTTCATTCAAAAATATTACCATCATGGCTTCCACCATCGGATCCATTATTATATACATTTGAAAAACCAAATATAAAATATATTGATGAAGATATTCCAACAGATCCAATTGAAGATGAAAAAAAACGAGAACATATTGCTAAAGAACAAGATACAACAACAAAAACAATACCAGCTCCAAGTGAATTAAAAACACCAATACCAACTCTTTCTGATATAAGTCAACCTAATAAAAAAAGAACTATTGGTTATACATAATTTTTCTTTTCAATGTATTGAAAAATAAAATTAGATTGATTTCAAATTTATAATTATATATTTCTTTTTTTTAAAGATATTCTAATAGATGCTGCAAAAGTTCTTCATTGATTTTATTTCTAGTACTACGTGACAACAACTCATCACAGAGACTCGACAGTTTTCTAGGTTAGAAAGAGCAAAAATTCTACTACAAAGCTATGTAAAAATATTTGATTCGAAATACTTACCAAAGGCTGAAAAAGTGCCTTGAAACTTCATGACTTTATAGTAGTATCAAGATATTCGAGCTATAAACTCCAGTCGAGAATAAACGATTGTAGCAGCTATAAAATGCTGGCTTTTATTTTCTAGCTTTCAATGATTTTTTAGCTATCCTCTCTTTTTCTCTTCTTTTCTAACGATTTTTTCCATTTTTTCTCTGACTTCTGTGTTTTTTGACTGTATTGGAAATTTCATCGAGCATTCTATGTGGTCATACCTTCGATGATCAAAGGTGTGCTTAGCTGGTACCTATTCATTATTTCCTTTCAATAACAACCATTCTCTACAAGTTTCAGTCAATTATCGTCGAACTACGTTCTTTTGCTTTTAGCTTTTGTTATTCGTATGGCAATTCAATAATATTAAGAATACATCCTATGCTCTGTTAAGTGAATGGTGCTTGATTCTTTCTGTCACCAAGGAACCTTTAGTAGCCGATATTTTAAATTATTCTAGCGATTTATTTTTTTTTCGGGCTTTTTTTACTTGAGAATCGATAATATATCTCATTTGCATCAGTATTTCATCAATCGTGGCCCTAGTTTGGGTGTGAGAAAAATAACAACTGTCACATCCAAATCGATCGATTCATTCATCATTCGAGCATATTCATTTCTTTCGTTTCATCATGAAGAATCTACTTGTTATAGTCACTATTGTGATTGGACTCGTGTTTGCTATTAGTGCCATTCCAACTCGTCGTGAAACAGACACAATACCATGCGAGCATCAAACCTGTCTCACCGATATGTCGATCTGTATATGTGGTTCGACATTAACACCAGATGATCGATGTGGCTGTCCATTTCGATGTACACAATGTTCGTTTGAATATATACCATCGTTCAATTTTAATTTTACTGGTATTATCTTTCCAGAAATCGATTGGTCCGGTCTTGTTTTCGATTTTTCGAAGTGGGATTTGAATCTTGGCAAGAAAAAATAAATTTCTAGGACTTGTTCCTACCAATGATACATCCATCAATAAATAATATTATTTGTTGTTGCATCTAGAAAAATCTAAAATTGTTTTTTTTTACGGATCCTATGATGACTAGGATCGAATAGGAACAGATATCGATTTGTACTATCCGTGAGAATGCGTCCATCAATAGTGAATGCTTTTATTTTCTTCTCAATCATATCAGAAGACCATTAGAATGAGTTTGAAAGAAAGATTTTGGACGTGTTTTTATATTTCTTGCTCCGTAAGTAAAGGAGGGTGTGGGTGTGGATATAAGTGTGAGTTAAGTCAACAACGATACCGACACCCAGATTGGATAATCAACTGAATCTTTACGTTGCAGACTTGGGCAATCATCAAATACAAAAATTTTTACGTTACTAAACAAATCTTTTTCTTTGCGTTATTACGATAAATTAATAAAATCTAAATTTCGACTGAGTATTAATAATATAATTATGAGAACAGACACGAGTTATAAATAGATGTTCACTAAAAAGCAGTTTTTTTTTACAGACAAGAAGTAAAATAATCGTATGTTCTCTAATAAATATTGTTTACCTTTCCATAAGGTGATCAAATTTTCCCTTAAAATCGTGATTCCGAAAGTTGTGCACTAAATAATATATTCATGTTTATACACCGAAAGATAAAAATTCAAGCGGGGTAGACAATTGAAATGATAGTGGTCCGAAACAAGTTTATTTGAAATGTTGTTAATAAGGCATAGGATAATACTCATAAGTTCATCGATTGGATGCGGAAATAATGTTTTAATCATCTTTAAAATAATCTGTCTTATATATGAAGACACTAAAGTATACGCATATAATTAATGATGTTGTCCATATAATTCTAGTAAAGATATACAAAAAAACCTTTTAGAAAGGAACTGTTGGAACATACTGTATTATCTGCTCGCTTTATCTGTTGGACAGATAAAGCAAATGTTCAACGAGAAAATGCTGATAAAGTGAACGTGCTAGCCATTTTGAATGGAGATAATCTATTTAAGAGTATTTCATTGATTTTCATTTCTCAAAATTAAAATTGATCATGATTACCTTTGACAAATCTTTTCACAACGCTTAGATCTACTACTAATCAGCAGTTCAAGCAAAAATAATCAGTATTATCTTTTTGCGCTGATCTCTCTTGGATGTGTGTGTGGGTATTCCTCTCATCTACATTCACACCCAATTTTCAGAAATAATCACTAGATACATATTTTAATCAGTTGAAAATCAGAAAATGAACAGTGGTTCTTGCAAAAGATATCTGGACACTATGAATCATGGAAGTTAATAAAATCCGAATCATTCGTTATCAATTGATTGAGAAGACAAAAAGTAACAAAACTCCTAT